ATTCAACAGAGCACTACCACCTCGTCGTCTTCGAGCTTCTCGCTCTCACTAGGACCGATTCAACAGAGCACTACCACCTCGTCGTCTTCGAGCTTCTCGCTCTCACTAGGACCGATTCAACAGAGCACCACAAGCACCTCAACTTCAAGCTTTTCATTTTCACTAGGTCCTATCATCCAGAGCACAACTACGAGCACATCCTCGTCCGTCTCAACAACAACTACGTCACCACGTGCCATTGATAGCCCGATCGAGGGCACAACGACTAGCACATCTGCTTCGACTAGTACTTCGACTTCCTCCTTGTCGACTACCTCGAGCGTTAGCTTCTCAGTTAACCCCATTGACGCCAGTACAACGTCAACATCAAGTTCGTCGTTGTCAAGTACATCAGCCTCGTCGACGAGCTCTTCTTTCTCCACCTCATCAAGCTCGTCGTTTGCGGTCGGTCCGATCGATGGTAGCACAACTTCGTCCTCGACATCGACGTCGAGCGCTAGTGCTAGCACTTCTACGGCATCATCAACTTCAAGCTTTGCTATTGGTCCCGTCGATGGTTCGACTACCTCCAGCTCGACGACATCTCTCGTCGCTACCACATCGTCGACCACGACATCCGCACCTGCTACCACCACTACGGCCGCGGGTCCTGTTTGCAACTTGAACGTGAATATCTGTTTGAACGCACAACTAATCACCGCCAACACAGTTGTCACTCAAGGTTGCCCTCTAGGCATTGGCTTGCTTTGCTCCGTAAATCAACTGCTCACGGTTGCCGCCCAGCTGATCACAAACAACCCCAACGTCTTGTCAACCGTCATTGGTAACAACCAGGTGCTTGGTCTCAGCATCACTCCACAACAGGTCCAGGCCGGCATTCTCGATGGAACTCTTACCTCAGTATGCCAGGCCTTAGGTACAACAAGCGTCGTGATCAATGATCCCACTTGCCCAATCAACCCGGTGACAACCTCGTCGTCGGCTTCTTCGACAAGCTCTGCCGGCAGCATCACGTCGTCAGCTTCCCTGACAAGCTCTACTGGCAGCTCTTCTACTAGTTCTGCACTAACCACGACAACGACTGCAGCTGGTGGACCAGTCTGTAATCTGGCCGTTCAACTCTGTCCCAACTCCAACGCACTCTTAGCTGCCACTATTACGACTGTACAGTGCCCCTTGGGAATTGGTCTTCTCTGCACAGTCAACCAACTGCTCAATCTTGTTCCGACACTTCTCCAGAGTAATCCTAATGTACTCTCCGTTGTTCTAGGTGATAATCAAGTTTTAGGCTTGAGTATTACTCCTCAGCAAGTTCAGGCTGGTATACTCGACGGATCTCTGTTAGGAACTTGTACGGCTCTCCAATTAGTCAACGTGGTCATTAATGACCCTACTTGCCCTATCAGCTCAACAACTACTACATCTAGTACTACACTTGCTACGACAACGACATCTAGCGCACCAGTGACTACAACTACCACAGCTGGAGGGCCAGTCTGCAACCTAGCCATTTCGGTTTGCCCCAACGCTAACCAGCTTCTATCTGCCACTGTCACGACGGTTCAGTGCCCTCTTGGTATTGGTCTCCTCTGCACGGTCAACCAGCTATTGAGTCTCGTTCCGCAACTTCTCCAAAGCAACCCCAGCGTCCTGTCTGTTGTTCTGGGTAACAACCAGGTCTTGGGCTTGAACATCAGTCCTCAACAAGTCCAAGCCCTGGCCTTACAAGGCGTGCTGACATCGACCTGTACCGCTCTCCAGCAGATCAATGTGGTGGTTCAAGACCCTACCTGCCCTATCAGCCAAACATCGACAACCTCGTCTGCCACAGTTGCCACGTCCACGACTCTGTCTACCATCACCACGTTGGCCGCAACAACGACAACCAGTGCACCAGCTGCCGCCACCACAACGACAGCAGCGGGCGGCGGCGGATCTCAACTACAGTGTGGCGTGGTTGTCCAACTCTGTGCCGGACAGACACTCCAGAGTCTTGGACTTACTCAGGTGACTTGCTCTGCCGCTATCCCAGCCTTGTGTACCCTTACCACACTTCTTTCAGATGTCTTGAATGCTTGTGTCGCCCTTCCCGGTGGTTGCGCCTCTCAGGGCCGTATCGGCACAGGCCTCAACATTCTGGGTGCCACCGGTCTTGTCGGCACTCAAAGTGTCGCTGGCATCCAGCTTGCGATTGCCGGCGTTCAAAACTGCCAGCCCAGCGGTCAATTCTTGACCCTCAGCGACCCAGGCTGTCCCGCAAATCTCTTCAAGCGTCATGGAGCTGCGGGCTTGGGTCGATCTTACTGATCCTCTTGGATTTTGATGGTTCTCCTCCGGTCTTGTTGACTCTTGGAGTATTCCTTTTGTGTGTCTGGTATACTCGATTAAATTCTTCGCGGCTGCTATTGACTGTGGAGATTGTGTGAACCTTCCCAGCATCTGGTTGGAAATAGTGTGGGTGGCAATATAATGAAAGGTATATAGTTAGCCTCTAGGATTTCAATTCTTCTTCTATCTGAACTTGACGATTCAAGGCTTGCAACTAGCCTATACATAACGGCAATTCACCTTTCCTGTGTCTCAAATGTTATAAGATGTAGGCCAGTCTAACAAACAGATTTCCATACCCTAGCGCAATTCCCAAGTCCACTACATGACGACCACAGCACTTCTTCAAGGGTACATTGCCACCCCTTATATGTATCTCTCTCCAACAAACACGCGTGCCCCAGACAAATGTAATTCAATTAGCCAGCAAAGTAGAACACCTCCTCCAAAGGCTTCCACCACCCAGGCACGCCATCAACCCCCCCCTTCTCGGAACTGACAGCCCCTTCGGCCACACTCTCCTGGTAACCATCAGTCATCCGCCACCACTCCCTGACTTTCTCATTCTCTCTCATCGCTTTCATATCTGCCTCGAAATCTTCGCCCGTCCATTTAAAGCTCGCGAACAAAATATGACTCGTCCCGTCGTAGGATATCGAGTCTGATCAAAGCAGCGATGGCAGCATGTGAGTATTGATCCTCAAGAAATGACAATCGAGCCCAAAGGGGAATAGATGTAGGTTTCTATGTACAGGGAGCACCTACAGTCCTCCATGTGGCATTGTCGGATCTGCTCCAGGACTTCGGGCCAGACTTTTGCATGGCATGCTTTGTAGGCCTCGTAGTGTTCCGGTCTCAGCTTGACGATCTGCTGGAAACGCTTCGGCGGTGGTTTAGAATTTGATGTTGACATGGTTGCCGCGATGGGTTGCTTCTAGGGTCTTGTGTATAAATGGTGGCCTCTTCGAATTGGATTTGCTATAAGGATGGCGGGGTGGTGGGTTGAGTTTGGGTAATATTCAAAACAAGGTTTCCCTTTCGCCCCGGGACAAATGTGGCCGAAGCTAAACGTTGATTTGAAGGCACGAAGAATATTTTTACTACCAAATTACCTGGTTCGTGAACACCCACCATTTTCGTGAAAGCATAAGGATCCCGGGCTACATCGGCAGGCAAGAATTCGGGGCACAGCTTGGGATACCTCCCTCCATACTATACACTTCTGCACACTAAGACCCGTGTGCGAGCGCCTCTTGCATCCGGTAGAAACCATTGACATACAGAGCGGTTGAGTAGTTCGCAGCTGCCTCAATCGAGCAACCAAGCACGTGGCTCGCAGCATTAGACCACAGTCTAAAGACACCTGATTGCGAGTCGGAAGCCATATCAATAGGTGGGTCATGCTGCAGATATAAGCGTTCCACGAATGCGAACACGCCGTGAAGCCGCAATACTTGCACGGTCGAATCTCCGACGGAAAATGAAACCGTCATGACATCCTCCCCGTGTGATCGATCCCATTTTGCAATGCTATTAGCGATCAGAATCTGGCCTTCGTGACAAGGATCGATGAAAGCTTCTTCCGACATCGCCGCGGATCCAAAGTCGATGGAGTCGGACATGTATTCAATGTGGAAACTCTTCTTGTGGGCGCTGAGAATCATAATTGCGGGTCGGTAGATGCTTTTCCCATTGCATCCAACCTCCACATGGGATCTAGGAAATCCGAGAAACAGGCTCGTCCCAAGCTTCGACTTCATCGGCAAAGGCACTAGATTCGTTCCACCGGTCATCCGGCCATCATCATCATCATGGCTCCCCAGAGAGTACGACTCGGTGTCCTGCTCATATACGACATCGCAAAGTCCGTCAGCCAGTTTGCATTTCAATACGACCAACGGATTAAACCTGTAGATGAAATGAAGATGTGTGTTGGGAGTCTTTCCTGTTGCTGGTACGGTCGTCTCTGAGTCATCGAAGAAGAATGGGGCCCAGTTCTTCTCAACTTCTGCTCTCTCTGCGTCCCTCTTGATGGTCAGGATAGTAAGAAGATCGGTGAATGGTCTGAAGACGTGCATAGCCCTTGTCCAGGTTTGTGTATCGTAGATCATGTTGAACACAATTATCGGTTCCGGATCGTCAATTCCTTCTTCGATGAGAACCCTAGGGTCTTCGGGTCCAAAAAAACGATGCTTCTCCATATACGGGTATGAAATTGGAAATATGGTAGGGAAAACAATTCCATGGCCTTTCCAAATCAGGGTGTGGTCTTTTAACTCACTCCAGTTGCTGTCATAAATCTGACCCCTCAAGAGGCTAATGATGGGCCATGACTTTTCGCCTTCGGCATAGAAGATGACTCTCGTGACTGTCAGGAAAACTTTGTTTTTCTCGAGCCATACACTAGATCCAGATAACCGTGTCCAGGTCTGGGAAACCATCTCTTCGAATGTGAGTGATTGATCTTGAGTAGAATAGTCTACCATAGGATGTTCATTCATTGATCGAGCGATGTGCACAAGATCATCATCCAAAAACCAGCTCTTTTGCACACTCAGTTTGTCATCATGTCTCAGCTCGTCACAGTTACGCTGCCCGGGTCGTCCATCGTTGGCAAATCCAGTGACGTTTAAGGGCTCGTGTTCAGCAGTATCGTGCGACTGCGCTCCACGATTTGTTGCCTATTGGAAAAAATGTTAGAAAGGTCTTCAGAAGGACGAGAGATTACGCACGTGAAGTAGGACAAACACTAATTCTCGGAGGCCAAAGAGGAAAATACTGGCCAATGCCACAGTTCTGATGCTCCGGCGATGCCTCCAGACGAGTCGTCGAGTGCTGGTTGCGTAAATCTGCAGTGATCTCATTGTTCCTGCACATGCGATAAGAGCATTGTACTTGCGTGGGTCAGTATCCTCATCGTCGATATCATGACAGGAGGCTGAGTTGAGGAGACTGCTGCGCTAGTATACTGTCATTATCTTGTTCCCAGGATGGATTGTCTTTTGCCTTGAAAAGTATCAGGCGTCCACATGGGTGAGTAGACCCCAGACAAAGACCCCAAGGAGAGATCTCGAAGCACAATATCGATCAAAATGACAAGTAGGTCACTAAAGACTACTCGAAAACTAGTGTACAAGGGAAGAAGTCCAACACTACCAACGTTATTGATGATCACGATTCGACATTTTTTGTAGAACATGATAAACGCACACGATGGTGAGAACGCGGGGCAGCCCCTATCCACTCCAACAAATGTTGCTGGTGGGGCACCTATCTAACTAGGTTAGACTACCTGCCAGTCGACAACGACGGCCGCTTTTGATCATGGCTACTTCGAAATAGGGGGTCATGGTTCGTTGGCTAGGGTTGTGAGAACTGGAAGAAGTAGGTACGAAGTACGGAGACCTGCCTAAACTACCTACGAGTAGGTACCAAGTCCGGCTACTTAGCAAACAACATTGCTCACAGCCCAGCACAAGGGGTGCTAACCAGGTGATGGCCATTTAGTGTAGGCAAGATTAGAAGTCTGACGGGCTATAATCACTTGCTATCTCTGTTGTTGCAGTCGGTCCTCATGTAATCTGTCTTTATCTTTGGTCGGGTGGTCGACGCCTCTGCCTTTCACTCAGTCACCCATGTTGAAAGTCAAATTCGCTTATAATCCGGCCCCAAGAGTAAACGGACCATGTCGGGCATGCGCCCGACCACACTTTCACCCTACGTCCCTGCATTAGCTGGTCAAGAATAGCTCTTCGAAGAGAACACTCGCAAGATACATCATGTATGTACACGGTCGGATAGTTCCATCCTTACCACATATGGGAGTTTCGACAAGCGCCAAATTAATTCTTTGTGAACATCGCCATCGGCTAGGTGCAATGAACAAACCGTATCCGCCAGAGCTGGTTCACCACTGACTGCTAGGAGCACTGTGATCACAGCTCAAGAATAAGTAGAAATGAGGCCAATGAATTTAGGCCAGCTTTTCAAAGTGGAAGGTTGGCTATTGCTTGATGTCTCTGGTCGCATCTAACTCGCTTGGATATTGCAAACCCGAAGCTGGCTGTAATATCGGTCATTAGTGGAGAACAACCACATATTGGGACGGCTGACACTCACCATCTCGACAGGGGCAACCGGAATGCCTGCTGGGCTTCTTGGTTGGGAATAACCATTCGATGCAGCATAAGACGCGTCTGGTTCGCTATAGCTCTGCCAGGACTGTTTCCAGGGGTCAGTTCTCGGACTTGGTAAAGCGTAGGCGGTCGTCGAATCCGAAAATGCTGTTGATTCAACCATTGATCGATTTCGCATGGGTGGACTCGTATCCTCTGGTGGCACATGGGCATAAGGAGTATTCCCTGTCGCTTGCGTCGCTTGCTTCTGCTTCCTTCTGCGCATGAACCATATCATAAAAATGATCAAGGCAAGCACTGCTATGCCACCAACAGCAATCCCAGCTATTGCTCCGGCGCCAAGACCAGAAGATGAAGGTTGCGGGTCTGGGGTCGGAGATGGTGTAGGTGTAGGTGTTGATGACGATGATGATGGGCTCGTCGTAAGTGTGTCAAGGTTTTGTAGAGGGTTAAGGAGGACAGTTGTAGTGAAGCCACGATCTTGAGCACAACCATAACCCACCGATCCCCCTTCATACTGATATTCGGCACAGTAAGGTAAACTGGTTGGGCTAGAGAACAGTCAGAAGGACTTCAATCAACAATATACGCACTACAGACCAGACCAAATTGTTTGGATTGTTCTGACAAGTGACATCGCAGGCATTCCCAAGAAAGTCGTAGCAGGAGGTGATTATGCCTACACAATTCGTGGATTCGCAGCAGCCGACGTATGTGCTGGTTGCTGCGCAGTACATACCACTGCGACATGTTACTGCTAGGTCTGTAGCAGCGTTAGTCTCACTTCCACTTCCCAATACTTGTTTCAAGGTGTCCTACCACCATCACCACCGATATAGCCGCAAGTCGCAGCCGAAACACTCGCTTGCCGGTGATTCAGGGCATGGGGCTGTCGACCATATGTTGGAGTAGCTGTCGGAGTAGCTGTGGGAGCCAATACAGCCTCAAGACCCAGTCTACCTGGTGCGAACATCGTTGAAGATGCGCCAAATTCCATATCTGAGGAGGTTCAAACAAGCATATCAATTTGTGGGAACAATGAGGGAACACGAACAGGTCGGAATACTAAATTGGCCTTAGATTTAGGAGATATGTGATAAGATACTGGCTTTTGTCCGTGCAGAATCTTGCGGCGCCTTTTGAGGCTTTCGGGCACGATGGATCGAGCTCGACCAGCGGGGTAATGTCAGTATCTGCCATCAAAGTTTACCAGCTCCCAAGGTCGGGTGCTAAGAGGACCTTGGCATCCTTGGTGTTCGTAATTGAGGATCGGTTCAGCCCTTTTTTAGCCCACGGAGGTGTCGCCCCTTCTGTGAGCCTTTAGACCATGATAGGGAGCGCGGCATCTAGACTATAAGATCCCACCCCCAAAAAGACGGAACCATGAACATGCTGGCGGAGAATTCGTCGTCTAGTAGAAAAGCGGATTGGACCTTTGGTACTACCACTTCCATTGAAGGCATGCATGTGCTTGAACGTTGGCGCTGACAACTATCTCATGCTATCGGAACTTGGAGCCCCAAGTCAGACAAGCGTTTTCTCGTTCATCTTCTCCGGTAACTACAATAAGGTTCTATCTTGAGCGACTCCAATCTGTTATTCGTCGTCATTGTCTTCGTACCTTGTACCACCACTATGCTCACTCTGATTCGACGTTCAGGTTGGGATGTAGATGTACCTGGTCCTACTATCCGTACATGAGTCTGACTGATCACCAGGATCCTTCGCACTAAAATAACATAGCCACAAGATTTGTACTCAACCATTTTGAGAGAGCAGATCCTGTTCTGAAAGTCTTGCCTTTAATGCAGCCTTGCCACTAGCCAGGGTGTCGAAATTGGAATTCTTGCCCCACCCCAAGATAATTCGCTTCCACTCCCGCCGATCATCGATTCGGCCAATGCAAAAAAACCATGATTGTCAATTGCACTACTCCACAAGCTAAGCAAGCGAGTGCAGCCGATCATACTCGAGAAGCTCTTTAAGCCCTAGACGACGAGTTACTTCGTAGGTCTAAGATTAGTGCCGTAAGCTTGTAACTACTCCGGAGAGAATACTTTCTTATGTACTCCCCCATGACTCTTCAAGGACTCCCACCACCCCTCCCATCCGGAGTGAGAAGAGGAGCACGCTAACTCGTTCTTTAGTCTCAGCTTCTGATCTCGGGAGCAAATCAGGACGGGCCAAAACAAACCTCAACCTTTCGTGTTCCGCTTGAAAGTAGCCAATTAGTTGTCCAGCATTTTTTAGACTTCCCCAAACACGAACAAAAGAGGCTGGAACACGCTCGTTCTGGAGATCGATCTTCAGCTGCCGAGAGTCCAGCGCATTCGGAACCGCCTTGGCATTTCCTCAGCGGCGCTGTCACCTCGCTCACATTCGAGATCGATCAACACTCCTCTACGTGGCTTGAGCAGATTCAGCCCGTGGCACATGATCTTGGCGCGCATTCCTTGGAACGGGCGCACGCCAATGTCCTTACCATGCAGTGCTTCGAGATACTCCGGAAGGATGTTGAGATGAGTGGGGGCGTGTTTACAGCTTGCCCTGATCGATGATGCCCTTTTAAGATTGTCATTTCTCCCAACCGCGCGAGCTCAGCCTCGCAAGACTTTGCTCATCGACTATTCGAAAAAAAATTGGGTATCAGACACAGACGATGGAGCTCACTCGCAGTGGTTTGCACTATGTGTTTGCCATCTTCACCTTGTTATCCGTGGCTTCGGCTCAGACCTTCCTCGAAGCCATTTCGCAATATCCGCAGCTGGCCAACTTCACGGAATTAATGACTAACAACCCTGGCCTGGCTGGAGCTTTACTAACCTCAAATGCTACATCATTAACGCGGACGACTGTGCTTGTACCAGATAACTCGGCATTTGATAAATTGCAGAGGTTACTGGGAGTGCCTGTGGGCTCACTATCAGTATCACAACTTGAACCAGTTCTCTCATATCACATACTCGTTAACGAATTAACCACCGACAACTTCACCGTGGCGAATGGCACTACCGAGCCCACCTTCTTGACAGGACCACTTTATAACAATCGATCCGCTGGAGATGCTTTAGGATCGAGTGGAGCAGAGGGCGATCCCAAAAACGGTCAAGTCGTCTTTATTGAGGCCAAAGACGAGCCAAATGCAGCTCGCCGATTTACTGTCCGCCAACTTCCTCAGCCTGATGTTGAGGTTCAGGGTGGTCTGGGTCATATCATCAATTTGACATCCGTCAATGGTGCTTGGGATGGAGGAGTCTTCCAGATCGTTGACAAGTAAGATGGCAATTTTGCTCTTCAGTTAGCAATGAGCTTACACAACAATAGCTTCCTTGATCTACCACTCAATTGTACCGACACTATTCGACGATGGAAGATGTTTGGCTTCAGTAGCTCACTCAGTCGCACGGGATTGGGAGCTCCCTTGGATATCACCAGGAATGTCACCTGTTTAACGCCCAACGACGACGCGTTTAAAGCAGCTGGTAGTCCCAATGTCACCGCCAGTATCTTTGATCTACAGCAGTTGACTTTGTTCCACATTATTGATCAGCCACTTTACACGAACTTCTTGGAAGATGGTCAAGAATACATAACCTTTTCCAACCAAACCGTGCGAGTCACCATTCGGGACGGAGCTATCTTTGTGAACGATGCAAAGATCATCCACTCCAATGTCATGTAAGTCGAACAAAGCATGCTACTTGTTCTACCAAAATGTGCTGACTCAAGTTTAGGACCAACAACGGCGTGATGCACGTTCTCGACAAGGTAGATACCCACAATTTGCGAACACTCCAGACATGTACTGACGAAATACCTAGTTTATGACACCTCTCGACCAAGATCGCAACTCAACAACATCATCATCGACTCGAACGGCCTCCTCTACTACTTCATCCACGGGGGGGCCTTCAGCATTGCCACAACCTTCCACCTCCACCACAAGTTCAGCTTCGGCGGCGACGGCTTCAGCATCTTCCGTTGCCGGAACACCATCGAAGCTTCTCTCCCAGGCTTCCTGGTCGCTAGGATTTCTAGGCCTCATTGCCGGATTCCTCCTTTGAGTTACCAGCGAGGTCCGAGGTCTTCTGTGACGCTATGACCGAGCTCACTCGGCCGGATTTATGACAGCAAATTCTATACTTCTACTTTAATACGTAAAAAGTTACCACCTGAGCTAGCGAAATTTGATTTGACTGGAGACTTAATTTCGTTGGTCGAGATGCTCTTGATGCGTAGTGAGGTCGTAATTTACTGCTCCAGTACACTTAGATTGGATATTCGCAACGGCTTGTGGAAGTCGATGAAGAGAATGATACAAGGCTGCGGAATGGTTTCGTGACCACAATTTCACTCATATGGTGCGTGAGCTTTCACTAACACATACGTAAGTCGTATCGCTGCAAATTGATATCAAAGGCCACGCCTAATGCCCTCCTACTTTGGAAAATTTTGGATCAATCATGACCTGGTCGTTCCAGGCTAGTGTGCATTACTAGCTTGCTGCATGATTCTGCAAGGCTGCAGCTCTCTGAACCATAGCGACTAACATACGGCTTAAGACGTTCTGACAGCAACCTAAAGAGATATTTTGTCCTACATATGTTCTCTAATGTATGTACTGGAATCTAGATGGCCCAATGAAACCACAACATGCCGCCCCACGCTCACTAAAATGTATGTACAGATCTATTCACAAATTTACAGTTTCGAGCATATACTGCCTGGCGAGATCAGGATGTATAGACTCATCACGGATCGACCTCGGTCGTTGCTTCAGGCTACACACACGCTTGTCCAGCCCGTACGCGACTCGGAACGTGTTCTTGAAAATCGCCTCCATCTCAATTTCCGACGCCGTTTCTGGGAAGAAGTCAAGCTCGTGGCCTCTCCCCCTGGGCGGCCCGATGGGATCTGCCCCTGAAAGATAGCCGAGATTGAGGCCTAGATCGATGCAGGTCGCGCTGATTTGACAGGTGTGCAGCCAAAGATTCACGTGTGGATGTAGAGGTTGGGTGAGTGGGAAATGATGTGGGCCCTCGTTGTCCATCTCGTCCTGGAAGGATAGAGTTTCTTCGTGTAAGCAATAAATGGCTAGGAGAATCGCACAGTGTAACCCTGAGATCGAACTCCAGAAATCGACTTCTGGATTGAGAGTCATTGCGAGCCTCACATAGGGTGAGGACAGCGATCTTGATTGGTGATGTATCATTGCGCCGATTGCAGCGGCAACGAGGACTTGGTATGTAGTTATGGAATTGTTTGACGCCTTCAGCGAGATCGTTGCAGGATTCAGGATTGGAGAATGAGGGTGGACCTTCTGAAAGTACACCTGTAGATAATTGCGCGTTCGTGGTGAGCTTACTGTAGTGTTCAGTCGCTCTTGTTCGGCCTGCATGCGCGGGTTGGAATTGCTTGGAAGGGTTTGACTTCTGTGTAGTCGAGTGCTAATAGTAGGTGGTAGCTCTTGTTGTAATGTCCCTGAGCAGGTTGAGGTCATGGATGACCGACGCGATAACGTAGGGGGTTTGTCTACAGGAGAGAGGAAGTCCCCGTAGTAGTCGATTTGACCATCGTTAAACCGCGTGTTCAGTGGATAAAGTGGCGGAGTTCGTGGCAGCTCGAATCCGCCAGTGGGTTCCTGGTAATCATCGTCGTCTTGATCTAATGATTGCGACGAGTATGGAATTGCGATTCCTGGGGAAGAGAAGTCTTGTTCTGAGATTCCGAATGGGCTTTGAGGTCTGGAGCAGTCGGGGGATGTGACCTCTATGGAAGGAATTTCGGAGAAAGCACCAGCAGAATGTGGCGCTGTGTTGTCCCCATTCCAGTCGAATTCGTCGTTTATGAAAGCTGGAAACGTATGTGATCTCTTATGGAGAGGAGGATTTGGAGTTGAACAACGATCCAGATCGAGTGGCTGATAGTCGATTGTCAGCCAAGGTGCAAGCTCTGGGCCGATATCCGAATAACAAGCTGGACTGTTCGATCCTGCGAAAAAGTCCCAAGCCGGGTTAAAGGATGGAGAATTCTGGTTTGTCGCAACCGCATCAGGGCCAGCATAGGTCAGTAAGTTGTCGGTCTCAATATGCAGTCCCAGACGTGCATCATGTGGGCTATTGGATAACGGCCGAGGACTAGGCGAGGGCCTGTATGCCAACGATGCCATATCCTCTGAGTGAGATGATGCCCTACCATGAGCTGCGAAAGATTCCAGCCTCTGAATGCGATTTTCTAGTAAACTAGAATTATCATCAGTCTCATATTCATATAATCAGCTCAGGAGATGAACCTTTGTGCACGATCCCGTCTTTTGCCTGGATCATGGCATACGGTTCCAAGGCTTCTGCAGGTTGAACACGGGCCAGGCAGTCCCGAGCATTTGATTTTGCGCCTTCTACAACGCTCACATGCCATCTGCACCGAATTCTTTCGCGACCGTCTATTCACAGTTGCATTCTGTGCAGCAAACTGTGGTGACTGCGAATTAACCGATTTGTTGTTTGTAGGTGCAGGACTGGCTATGGAGGTGTTGGTCGCCGGTGTTGAGGGTGACTGGACATTCTCGTGCTCGTCCATCTTGAATCACACTCCGAGGTGGTTCGTGTCTATGATTTTGATACTTTGGCCAAAATTCGGGTGGGAGACAACTTGAAGACTGTGCAAATGTGACCGCACTGGAGCATTCTACCGTGGAGGTGGACTGATGCCACATTGGCGCTTTAAGATCATCCCATCGAAGACGCCAACGATAATATCCCCCAGCGTGCCCCAGCTGCTGAACGGAGAGATGATGTCGGCACAAGGTATCTTCTCGGACACCCAAGAATTTTGTAACAACCTTAACTGACACATGGTGAGCAAGAGAACGGCCAAGGCCGGGAAGGCCAATCATCCTTGACCTGTATTGTTCTCGGGTGCTCTGTATTCTCGAAGTGTAAAAGTGCTTAGATGATTTGCAAATGCCGTTCTCGAGCACTGCTACCAATCGCGATCAAGATGGGCGTTGCACTGCCCCCTTCCAAGAAAACCCAAGCCGTAGGGAATTGTCCCATCCTCCGCACTTGCAGCTGCTAGACGCGGGCAACTTCCGTAAGTCGCCTCTGGCGAGACCATTGGATCTCCACGCATAACAAAGGACTTCTTCTCGAACCACGATAATACAAAATTAGGTGAAACTCAAGCTATTTGACCCCCATCACTCCCCATCATCCCCAGGTCGCCGAGAGCGACAGTCACCCCCGCACAGATCCTCCGGCGCGACCATCAAGTAATATGTAGTCATGAAGTGTCGGCTCGTATGGAGCCCTCCACGGATTTCCTCGTCTCGAAGCTTCGGTTGCAGGAGGCGGAATTCAAGGGTTCAAAGAGTGATACTCCCAAGACGTTTTTGAATGGGCGCCAGGAGTCATTTTATGCAATTCATCTGTCTGAAAGCTTGCAATCTAAAACCATGACGCAGTTATCCATTCTATGAAAATCAACACGCCTGCAACCTCATCATCAATCTGTTTCAAGAAATCTCCACTCCGCATTTATGCTGGGACAGGGGACGTCTTGACACGTTGGTAGTCCAACTTGCACTCCAAGCATCATGTGGTTTTACTTTTGAGAAACCTTTCCTCGTTGATTCTTATCCCCCAGTTCGATGTGAACAAGACCAAGATCCTTCTCGTTGACAGCTGAATCCAGAGATGCGCCAGAATCTCTGTTTTTGCGCCCTCTTCCTCGAAGCTGATTCCATGTAGCACGGTGCAGCGAAGTCATGAAAAGCTGATCCATATCTTCGAGAGAAAGACCTGTCACTTTCAGTTAGTTCTATCAAGATACTAGGAAGTGGAGACACCTTACCCTTGGTCTCGGGGACGAAAAAGAATGCCCAGAAACCCATAAGCACCATCAAAGACCCGAAAAACATGTAGGTGCCATATCCCAGTGATGTAATCATGTATGGAGTAGTCCTTGAGATGACAAAAGACCACAGCCATTGATCGGCAGTGGTGATCGCAACACAAAGCATACGGATATCCAATGGGAAGATCTCACTGCAATATACCCAGGTGATCCCCTGCCACGTAGCGCAGTAGATGAAGCCATAGAGGTAAACGCAGACCATGGCTAGGTAGCCCCATCCAGTCTGGGTGACGACGCCGCCAGCAGCTGCAGTTGCTGGGTCAGCTTTGAAGACGTAGCCACCGATATACCACATGGGTAGAGAACCAATGAAAGCACCATAGATGAGACCCTTGCGTCGGCCAACCTTTTCGACGAGGAAGAACGAAAACACAATCATGCCAAGAGTCTTTGCGATGCCATAAAAGCCTGTAGCGAAAAGTTTCGTAGATGTGCCTTTGATGCCCAGAGTTTCGAAAATGCGCGGAGAATAGTACTAATAATTGTTAGTTTTTTGCATCTACAGACACAAGTTAGGAGGCATACGGTTATGATATTGACACCTGTTAAGTTTTGGCAAGCCATCAAGAGTAGACCGATACCGATCCGGTTGCGCGTGCCCTTCGCGAAGAGCTTTTGGAAAGACTCCTTCTTCCCCAAGTGGTGGATACTTCGTTCTTCCATTTGTAGTCGAATGTCTGCAATTTCATTGCGAACATATGGATGATCGACAGGTAGGGTACGGAGATCAGAAAGGACCTTTTCCGCAGCCTCCCAGTTATCTTGCTTCGCGAGCCACCGTGGAGATTCCGGACAGAACAGCATACCGACGAAAAGCATAACTCCGGGAAGAAGTTGCAGTCCAAGAGGAACGATCCACTGCGTTTTCACGTAGTCTGAGATTGTTCTGTCCACGGCATAATTGATCCAAAACCCACACATACCGCCACCTTGACTGGCGATTTCGAAGATGCCTACCAATCTGCCACGGATTGATGGCGGCGAAGTTTCGGAAATGTAAACCGGAACAACGAGGCTCACACTACCAATTCCGAGACCGGCGATGGCTCTTCCAGCAATGAGCATTGCGAGATGTCCATTCGCGGCAGTCATAAGAGTACCACCAATCAAGAACACGATAGATGCGATCATGATGGCCTTCTTGCGACCGATTTTCTCCGCCAAGGGGAATGTCAGAAGAGATCCAAAAAAGCAGCCAGCCTGGAACGTGGAGACGATATTGCCTTGCAAAGTATCGCGTGCCCTGCTAGATATCTGATCGGTATTGAAGTCACGACGGAAAGAGTCCAGGGCCAAAGTTCCTCCGATGACAGATGTATCATAGCCCACTGCAGGAATCAGTACATGACACGTCATTGCATGACTGGTTGACTTACTGGCAATAGCAGACATTGAGGCGATGATTGCGATCATGTGGATCTTCCAGTTGCGGACCTCCTTGGGATCGGAGGTCCCGCTGGCATGAAGATTGAAACCCATCCTGATGGGAGCGACGTTGCGCTTGCCGTCGAGACTGTTGAGGATAGAAGGTCCTTAGGCAAACTGGTGTTCGAAAAGTCAAGACTGTGTCAGCCCAGCGAGCGGGTCTCTGTCATGATATAGACGGACTAGACATCACGATCGACCCCAGGCAGTGAGAGCAAGAGTGAACGAGTGTGCGGGGAAATGGAGGTAGGGTGGTAAGCTAGGCGGAGATCTTTAGGGTGAGCATGGTGTCAGTCGACCTAGAACTTCTCGAAAAGTTGGCCACCCCATCGAACGATAACCCTGCATGAACTTGACGGAGCATAGAATGATGGACTACTTAGTAACAGTGACATGGTGGCATGTCCGATTCGAAGGAGCCGGATGTCATGAACCGTAACAAGATTTCCTCGAGAATGCAAACTTCAGGCCAACGTCCGCTCGTGCATTAGATGGTGTCTTGGTTTGCCCCTTGGCGTTGATTTTAAAGGCAGAAATCAGCCATCGGGTATTGAACCGGTCTTGGCATCCTCCGGTGGTTGGGATCTTGGGATGCTTGTGCTACTTTCTCGATACCACCTCCGCACATGTCGATTATCGAGATACCGACTTGCAGAATATTCAGTATGCTTGGAGCATATGCCGATCTCATTGCCAAGTTACGAACTACCATCAGTGCTCAAATCTCGGGGGAAAGTGGGCATACCGCAAGCTCTCACGAGCTCCTAGCCAAGCTATCTGACGGACGTCCTCTCCGTCGTCCTCTGTGCTTCCCCAAAGTCTGAATTCTTCGGCCGAAGCCTCGAGTTTGCCATCTGCAATATGTGGGTATCGCTGATATGCGGCATCGCGAGCGAAATCGCAATACATGCTTGCCCGACTCCAATCATGCATACAGAACCAACAGACGTTGCGGTTTGCACTGCCTCCAACTCCTGAGTATATACTGCCCGCTAGGGTCTCAGTCTTAGCTGGCTTCTCAGAACCACAAACCCCGTATCCATTCCAAAATCCATTGAGAGTGTCTCACTGTACTAGAACGAATTTCATGATTCAGCGATCGCCTTAGTGTTGTCGTAATGGCAGCTCCTTCTGGCTCTCCCAGCTCAAAGAACCCCAGCTTTCTCACCCCACAAATGGACGATACGATAGCCAGAAGCCCGCATTCACGAGATACATCCTTGAGCAATCCGTTCCTGAGCCCGGTCGTCACACCTGCCCTTGCGAGCTCGGCATCTAGCGTTTCAGATGTTGACCTTGAGGGTGCCCTTCGACCAGATCCGGGAACCGAGGCCGATTTTGAGGTTCAAAATAATCCGTTCGCTTTCAGCCCTGGGCAGCTTAACAAACTACTAAGTCCAAAGTCACTTTCTGCTTATGTAGCCCTTGGAGGACTACGTGGGATTGAGCGAGGTCTTAGAACAAATGTCGAGAGTGGTCTCAGTATCGATGAGACATCGTTAAATGGGCACATTACTTTCGAAGATGCAAGTACTAATTCTACAGAACTCATCCAGACACCAAGCCTCAGTGCTAATCAGTCCACCCCTGCCACAAGCTCGGACACGAACGCTTTCAATGATCGTATTCGTGTTTATGCTCAGAATATCCTTCCGGCCAAAAAGGCAACTCCATTATGGAAACTGATGTGGAATGCATACAACGACAAAGTCCTGCTGCTTTTGACGGCTGCAGCCGCAATATCTCTCGCCCTTGGTCTCTACGAGACTTTCGGTGCAACGCACGAACCTGGAGCGCCGGCATCCGTAGATTGGGTCGAGGGCCTTGCAATCTGTGTGGCAATCATCATTGTTGTCGGAGTCGGATCTTTGAATGACTATCAAAAGGAGAAGGCCTTTGTCAAACTCAATACTCGAAAGGAGGACCGGGAGATTAAAGTGGTTCGATCCGGCAAGTCTTTCATGATGAATGTGCATGAAGTCCTTGTCGGGGATGTGCTTCACTTGGAGCCTGGAGATCTGGTCCCTGTTGATGGTCTCTTCATTCAAGGCCATGGGTTGAAGTGTGATGAATCCTCCGCTACTGGAGAATCTGATGCACTGAAGAAGACTGGTGGCATGGAGGTCATGAGGCTACTGGACGAAGGCCACCACGGTGTCAAAGAGCTCGACCCCTTTATCATCTCCGGAGCAAAGGTTCTCGAGGGTGTCGGCACCTATCTGTGCACTTCGGTCGGTGTCAACTCTAGCTTTGGAAAAATAATGATGTCTGTACGCACAGAGACAGAAGCGACTCCTTTACAAAAGAAGCTTGAGGGATTGGCAACTGCGATTGCCAAGCTCGGTGCGAGCGCAGCTGGCTTACTCTTCTTCATCCTTCTGTTCCGCTTTCTTGCCGGCCTGGGATCGGATATCAGAACAAGTGCTGAGAAGGCTTCGTCATTCATGGATATACTCATCGTTGCGATCACTATCATTGTGGTAGCCGTCCCTGAAGGTTTGCCTCTAGCGGTGACCCTAGCTCTAGCATTTGCCACTACTCGACTGCTAAAAGAAAACAACCTAGTCCGAGTTCTGCGTGCTTGTGAGACTATGGGAAATGCAACAACCATCTGCTCCGACAAGACAGGTACTCTGACAACAAACAAAATGACCGTCGTTGCTGGAACTTTCGGGAGCGCCAGCTTTGGCAAGTCCAGAGATGGTGAGTCGCGAAGTGCTCTCGACTTTGCACAGGCTTTGCCCAACGCCACCAAGCAACTTATTATCCAATCAGTTGCTATTAACTCTACCGCTTTTGAAGGGGATGGTGCTGATGGCTCTACATTCATTGGGTCCAAAACTGAGACTGCGCTGCTACAGTTCGCCAAAGATCATCTAGGCATGGGAAACTTGTCGCAGGAGAGAGCAAACAACACGGTCGTTCAGCTCATGCCGTTCGACTCCAGCAAAAAATGCATGGGCGCAGTCATCAAACTTCCCAAAGAGGACTATCGATTCTTTGTCAAAGGAGCGTCCGAGATCCTTTTGAGGAGCTCCACGTCCATCGCGGATTCGCAGCAGAAAGAAACAACAAAAATTTCACAATCAACGCGACGTTCTCTGGAGTCAACTATCGATTCTTACGCAAGACAATCTCTGCGTACTATCGGTCTCGTGTATCGAGATTTCCCGCAATGGCCTCCTCACTCTACTGGAGTCGAAGACGACTTCGACTTCGGTGGCATTCTGAACGAACTCACTTTCCTGGGCGTTGTCGGTATTCAGGATCCTGTCAGACCCGGTGTTCCAGAAGCTGTGGCGCTAGCAAAGCATGCAGGTGTTGTCGTCAGGATGGTTACGGGAGACAACGCCACTACTGCGCAGGCTATTGCAACTGAATGCGGGATTTACTCCGATGGTATCATCATGGAAGGACCCGACTTCCGCGTCCTCTCTGATGCACAGATGGAAGCTTGCCTGCCAAGGCTTCAGGTTCTCGCAAGATCATCCCCTGAGGATAAGCGAGTGCTTGTCTCCAAGCTCAAGGCTATGGGAGAAACTGTCGCTGCCACTGGAGATGGGACTAATGATGCACCAGCATTGAAAGCTGCTGACGTGGGATTTTCTATGGGTATTGCCGGTACCGAGGTCGCCAAAGAAGCATCTTCAATCGTTTTGATGGATGATAATTTTGCGTCAATTGTTACTGCCCTCAAATGGGGTCGTGCCGTTAATGATGCCGTACAGAAATTCCTCCAGGTACGTATTTCGTCGTATTCGGTCTCTTGATATTTATTGCTGACTCTCCTAGTTTCAAATCACAGTCAATATTACTGCTGTGCTTTTAGCATTCATTTCAGCTGTCTCCAGCTCGAAAATGCAGTCCGTCCTTACAGCCGTGCAACTCCTCTGGGTCAACTTGATCATGGACACGTTTGCAGCTCTAGCCCTGGCTACTGACCCTCCAACACCTAAGATCCTTGACCGGAAACCTCAAAGAAAGGGAGCTCGACTTATTACAATCAACATGTGGAAGATGATAATCGGGCAGGCGATCTTTCAGTTGACGATCACACTTATTCTATACTTTGCAGGCTCCAAAATACTAAAATACGACGAATCTCGAGAGCTGGAGCTCAATACCGTTATATTCAACACTTTTGTGTGGATGCAAATCTTTAACGAGTTCAATAATCGACGACTCGATAACAAGTTCAATATCTTCGAAGGTGTACACCGCAACAAGTTCTTTATCGTCATCAACTGCATTATGGTTGGAGCGCAGATCGCCATTGTTTTCGTTGGCGGAAAAGCATTCTCCATCACTAGAATCGATGGTACCCAGTGGGCAATCTGCATCGTCCTGGCGTTTTTGTCACTCCCTTGGGCGGTGTGTGTACGCTTGGTTCCAGATGCATGGTTTGAGAAACTGGCTACCTTCATCGGCAAGCCATTCCTTGTTGTTTATCGGGTTCTGTCACGAGTCAGTTCTAGAATGGGATCGTTCATCAGGCGCAGACGGGCATCTTCGGCCTCAGAGACCGTGGAGAGCTCCACCCCCGAGATCACTGTCACCGAGATTGGCAATGAGAAGAGTACAGCAACGACTTATGAGGGAGACCTAGAAAAGGGCAAGCTATAAGATTAGATTAGATACATCACCATGTATCAAAATTCGATAGATCAGAGGTTTAGATTTTCGGCCATAGAGGCTGAATGATGCTGCTTCGATGAGTCAGCTATGCGCGTATGCCGTTTACTTTGTCCACTAACTACCAAGAAAAGTTTTCATTGACCAATTTCTCCGACACCTTCCACAATCTCTCTGCTCCTTCATTTGATTCCGCCTTCGGGAGGATCTGGTCGCCGAATTGGCAGTCCAGCAAGAAGATACCATAGTTCTCCTTACCATTCTTTGCTTCAGGAGCCGTAAGACTAGGGTCCGTTGCAGCAACTAAAGTCGTGGCCGCTCCTGCTCCGAGTGACTTGATTGGGAAAGTGCCACTCTTCAACATCCCTGTGATTGCGGCGGTTGTTTCTGGTGAAGCATACCTACTCAACTCCGTGAAAATGACACCTGGATGAACTACCAAGCTCAAGATTCCGTGATTGGAGTAAAGACGCTTGTTTAGTCCAATACTGTACAGCGCATTTGCAACCTTGCTTTGATTGTACCCCTCAAGAGGGAGGTACGAGAGATTCTCCGGGTCTTTGCTTCCCCACGCGACGTGTACGCCGTATGCGGGCTGCTCCTCCTCTGGAAGGTCCTTGTTGACCTTCTCGAAGTTCATATCGCTCCATCGTATACCCGCAAAGGTGACGGATAGGGAGCTTACGTTAACAATCCTGACGGCGCCCTTCGGCTTCCCCCCAGCAGCCTTGAGAAGCTTGGGCATAATGCTGTTGGTAAAGACAAAATGGCCAATGTGATTCGTGGCGAACTGGATCTCTATTCCGTCTGCATTGAGAGTCCGCTCTGGGATGTTCATGATTCCTGCATTGTTGACTACGATGTCAATGGCTGGCACATCTGACCATGAAAGAACTTCATTTGCGGCAGCTCGAGCGCCACGCTGCGTAGAAAGATCAAGCTGAAGTGCACGGTAAGCGACCCCAGGATAGTTTGTTTTAAGTGCGTCGATGCTCTCTTGAACCTTGGTCGTGTTACGCCCAGCGATGATGACCAGGGCTGGAAATTGAGAAGCCTATCTCGCGCTGTTAGTATGATCTTGAGCCTTGAGGATGAGTCGACAATTACAAATGATTCTGCTGTGGAATATCCTATTCCTCCTTGGTTAACGCCTGTTATCAAAATAGTTTTCCCTTTGATTGAATCGGCATATGCAGCAGCGACTTCCAAACCCTCGGTTTCCCCACCAAAGTTAGGATTAGTGGTGGCCGTCATCTGGCTGGTCCTGATATAGATGTCTGGAAATAAGAGATAATGAATTGCTGAGAGCAATCGTCGAACCAAGTGAACTATGTATCGTATTTAAGCATCCTCCATCAACTGTATGAGGTGTCACTGAAGACGTTCCATGCGAGGCAACGAACTGGAGCCTTGCGTACTGCCTTCCAGGAGTGGCCAATTACCTCCATGACCGATGTGTGCCCATCTGCAACTAGCGATTAGTTGGCGATCTGGCCAATGATACGAGGATTGCTCTCGGACTTAGTCGTGTCTCCGATCGCACTTAGCCACCAATTCCGTGTTGGAGCCATTTCATCCTTCTTCGAGATCGTAAGAACCCTCGAGCAAGACCCTTTTCCTGAAGTAGGCTTCTTTCTAGAGACTAGTCCACTGGATCTTTAGACCAATCTTCAACACTACCTAAGCACGGAGTGGCAATAACCCGTCCATATATGGAAGGACGAGTCTTCAATGTTCAGTTCAGGGAGGACAAGGTGAATTTTGTTTCCTAGCTGCACTCTGAAGGCGCCAGTGTTTCTGAGCTGAACATCAATGATTTCGAGATGATCAGACTAGCGATGTGTGGACCTTCAGCCTTGTGTTCCTCCGAGTCCGTTGCTTTCGACAGCCTCGCTCACCCCAAAGCGGCAATTCGAGAACGAGCTCGTCCACAATTACCCCATCAATGATATTAGGTCCAATTGATACCCCATGTCCGTATACATCGTGCCACAAAACTACGTCGTCTTCGCACACAATTTCCTTAAACGTGTATTGTCTCAAATGCTTGCGCTTCATTCTGCTGACCCGAATGAATTACTTCCAACGACTTACGGTGGTATATAAGTCCCCGCCGCTCTGCATTTCATACCCGTGAGACAAGGAGAACTCCAAGGCCGGCACCAGATCAAGGATCAACAGTCATATATATTTTCGCCGACAAGATGCAGTGGCTCATCACTGGATGCTCTAGTGGCTTGGGCCTATCTCTGGCGCGTGCAGTACTCACACGTCCAGGTGAGAAAGTCATTGCTACCTCCAGAAATCCTTCGTCTTCGCCCGAAGCGGTCAACGAAATTATCAACCATGATAAGGCAGTGTGGGAGACGCTCGACGTGTCTGCACCAGATGTCGAGATCCAGCTTGCCAAAATTGTATCGAAGCATGGAGCCATCGATGTCCTGGTAAACAACGCCGGCTATGCCGCTGGTGGGGTCTTTGAGGTCACTCCGCTCGAGGCTTTGAGGCAGCAATTTGAGACAAACTTCTTCGGAGCTGTAAGATTGATGCAGGCTGTCGTTCCGGGAATGCGGACTTCCGGCAAAGGTGGTGTCATTGTGAATATATCCTCTAATGTCTTCTGGCAACCTCTTCCGGTCATATCGGCATATTCGGCGAGCAAATGGGCTCTTGAAGGATTCTCGGAAGCAATCGCTGGTGAAATCTCCCCATTCAACATTAGGATGATTATTGCTGAACCTGGTGGCATGCGGACTTCATTTCTCGAGCCCTCAAAGATGTCGAGCTTGAATGTGGATCTCCCTGCGACGTACAGGGGCACTATCGCTGAGACTTTGTACGAGATGTTCGCTGCAATGCATGGAGAGCAGGCTCTCGATCCAGAGAGATCGGCACGTGCCCTTGTGAAAGAGGTTCTTGAGCCAACTTCCATGAAGAATGATGAGACCGGAGCACCTCAAAACATATTGAGGCTGCAGCTCGGCAAAGAAACGGTTGGCACGATGCAGAAGAAAATCATGACCTTCCAGACAGAAGCTGAAGTTTTTCAGGCGCAAGCCTTTGCATGTGATTTTGATGCTTAGGACAGAGAAGCCAGATATTGTCTCTGGTTCAAGGTCTGAACGCAATACTCGTCTCAGGTTAATATTAAGTACTTACACAACCAATATGAAGTCATCCAATATTGAGGACGACTGTCAACGCATGAAAACAAAATGAACCTCGTGTATGTATGTCGAAATCTTGAGGGAGAAAGATTACCGATATACTACGCATGTGTTCGAGAACTTTCATTCTAAATTCACTGGTAGGATCGCACATCTCTTCATGCAACTACATTATATGTATATAGACATCAACCTTAGAGCCGTGGTATGAGTAAGAATGGGTTTCTCGGATGACAGTACACTAGTATTGGGGAGTTGACATTTAAATTGATGAGGGCTTTTTGGAAGAGGTCCTGCCTTAATTCTGCGAAGCTACTATGCTTGTTTAGTACACAAGAATCACAATAAATTGTGCTGACATATCAAGTCCTTCACCGATGCACAGGGGGTCCCCGTAACTTAAGCCCCGGGTAATAAATGCACTGTCAGAAGTTAGTGCAACCCACTAAATTTCGAGTCTCGCATGGGTTCCAGATAAATGACCAGACTTAAAATATACCAAGTGCCTCCAGTGCATGCCTGCTGAAATCTTCCTCACTTCTAAAGTCTTTGTGACGAAGCAATGTCAGAGACTAGCCATCTTTTAGATTCTGTTGTCACAATGTCCGGATACCTACAGATTGAATCGGATTCTTGGTATCACGTCCAAGATCCCAGGAAGAGAAAACAAATTCAAGACAGATTAGCTCAACGCGCAAGAAGTATGTAAGCAGCACGAGATGATCCATCACATGATGGCTAAATGGCTGGGTTCGCAGGGAAGCGACTTGCAGAATCCAGGAATGACAGTGTCGCGCCAACAGTTCCGCGGCAGCGTAATGCAACACTGTATTCGATAACTCTCGATGAGAGGCGAGAAGAGACTTCAACAAGCGGCGAATCGACGCTCGAAAGCAGCAGCTGTACAGTTATTGAGTCCCCGGCTCGTTCTTCCCAATCTACGGCCAACTCTTGTGATGGTTCAGATCTCGGATATTGCCATGCTCCGATGCGCAGTTCCTCAGTTTTTGCCGCTCTCTTCACAAATGGACTGATCCTAGGATTACGCTGTGGAATACAAATCCCTATTCTCTCGCCGCCTTGCACCGCAAAAGTTCCACCATCACTTCGCCCAACCAAGCTGCAGATGACAGTTCTTCATATTCCATGGATTGATCGTTTCCCATTTCCAAAAATGAGAGATAATGTCATACGATTGAGTTGCGACGGGTTTGACGAGGACGAATTATTCTCGGACATCTTCATCGGAGAGAGCTTCCTTATCACCCCAGGGTCGCTGAGTTGGGATGCGGAGGGATGGACCATGGTCAAGAGCTTCCAAATCAAATGGGGACATTTATTTCTCTGACAATCGGGTTGCTTTTGAGGGCTCAGTGCGCCTGAGTGACAATCGAAACATGTTGCTATTGGTCGGGATCTAATGTTTCAGCCTGGCATTGGACAGCTTTGCCAGAGATAGGCCGAAAATGCTAACTCCTCAACTCAGCATATTATATCCAATAAGCTCTAAGAGTCTGCCCGGGTTTGTTTGGACTATTTATTTCTGACTGTCAGAAAATTGGAGTACAACCGTCACACGTCGTAATCCAGACCAGTGAATCAGTAATACCAAGACCCCTTCCTTCCCCACGTTTGCTCGCTCGGGGTTCCAGTCGAGGCGACAGCGTCCAGCCACTACAGACTAGCCTTTACTTGTTTCTGACTGTACATGTTTGGATCCTCCGCTTTACGACGGGCGACACGAAACGTGTACATAAATGAAAGCAATGGAGGCCTGGTTGGGAGAACAGAATCTCAGGAACCAATTCCATTACCATCTTCACCAACCTTCGCCGTTCCTTGTCAATCAGTCGCCCAATTTACTCGATCCAACAGCACGTCTTTACATCTACGAACTAAAAACCCTCGGCCAATTCAGACAAGATGACAAAACCAACAATAGTTCTAGTACCTGGTTCCTTCGCCGTCCCAGAACTCTATAATCCTATATTCGATGCTGTTCGCCAGAGAGGCCGCGAGATAGGAGGTGTGCATCTTCCGAGTGTAGGTCTCAAGCCTCGTGAGGGTCGCCCCGGCAATCCTCCAACTATGTATGATGACGCAGAACATATTAGCAAGGAAATAGAGCGACTATCAGACGAAGGCAAGGATGTTATTGTCATCGGCCATTCGTATGGAGGAGTTCCAGTCTCCCAATCTGGAAAGGGGCTAAGCAAGGAGGAAAGGCAGAAGCAAGGGAAATCTGGTGGATTGGTTCGCCTTGCTTATCTGACGTGCTTAGTCCCAGGTCTCGGTGGTAGTGCTAGAGATGTTCTAGCTGATGTGCCGGATGAGCACAAAGTGGAAATGAAAGTCCTCGTCAGTGACCCTGCCCCATGCAATTGAGTATTCATTGACAAGTACACTAGGACAGTGGATGGATGGTGCACGACAACCCGGAATCAACAGCTCGAATCTGTTTTTCGCTCGGGGATTTGGAGGAGGGAACAGCAATCGTGAAGACATTTCCTATGCATTCGGCAGTCAGCTTTGTCAATCCCCTGACATATGCTCGTTTCACGGACGTTCCATGCTCTTACCTTCTTTGCGAGCAAGATTTATGTATCCCAGCAAGTGTGCAGAAAGCAGGAATCGACATGATCGAGAAAGAGAGTGGGAGGAAAGTGGATGTGACTAGCATCTACGCTGATCACATTCCAAATGTCACCTCGCCAAAGGAAACAATTGATTGGATAGTAGGACTTGATGCATAAAAAGTAACTAGAGGTGTGAGGCCACTGCCGGATAAGGTCACGGTCCACGCAGAGAGCCTGACAGCATGGTAGTTAAGCTCGCCGGATTCCTTGAGAGCTACATTGATCGCGGTGCGTACACTTTTATTCGGCCGGTACACTTGTCAATAGCGCCAAATACCACTCTGATGAGCAAGAGCCGCAGATTTGACCCACACGTATCTATAGATCCACATCAATGGGATATGATCGTCTATGGGGTACTAAATACAATGGATTGGACCGAGCCTTATCAGTAGATAAACTCCAACCCTTCTGACGCTCCCACCCGCATTTTCATGCAGTGTCAGAAGAGTAGCCGTTGTTGATAAAACATTACTAAGTATGGTGGACCTCGCCGCTACACACTGATTGCAAATCGTATGTATGATAAGTTCAGCTTACCAACTATTATAATTCGCCAGGTCTGAATTGAGGAAAATGGGCCATATAAGTTAAGGTCAGTGCTGTATCAGAATTTCATTCCACATATCTTTACGAGAGGCCGGTCTTGTACTACTATCGCTTCAGCTATGTCTTCAACTGTGGTCTTGATCAGTGGTGCCAATAGAGGGATCGGCAAAGCCCTGCTTGAGCGATATCTGGTGAGACCAAATTATATTGTTGTTGCAGCCAATCGCAACCCCGAACATATCTCCTCAAAAGACCTTACCAAGCTTCCAAAGCATTCGGATAGTCAACTCATTGTCGTCAAAGTTGATGGTACAAGTGAGCATGACTCCGCGAATGCGGTAAAGGAACTCGAGAAGGAAGGAATAAAGTATATCGACCTTGTCATCGCTAATGCTGGTGTTGCTTCATCATTTGGAAAAGTCTCTGAGATAAGCATTATTGATGTCAAAGCCACTTTTGAGCCCAATGTTTATGGTGTTGTGCGCCTGTATCAAGCTGTGCTGCCCCTACTGCTGAGATCCAAAGCCCCGAGATGGGCCACTGTAGGTTCAGTGGCTGGAAGTATCGAGGTAAGTACCACCAGTTTTTCTGAAGCTGCATGCCATCACATTATGCCGTGAAGTCAAGTTACAGACAGCTAATATTTATCTAGTAAGCATGAAACCCCCTTTAACTCATTATTTCCGGCAACATTCCCCAACGAGAGAGGCGTTGGATGTCAGAGAGTGAGCATAAAGCACGTTCAATCACTAAATATGATGCATCAGGAAGCAGCCACCGATCCCAAATGCTGCGTATGGTCCATCTAAAGCTGCCGTGCACTGGTTCACGAAGAGAATCAACGAAGAAGAAGATAAATTGGTTGCTTTCGTGGTCACTCCTGGGTACTTATCAAACCTCTCTGCTGCGTTATATAATTGCTGAAAATAAACCACAGCTGGGTTCCGACAGATATGGGTACTTTTGGCGCGAAACATTTTGGCATTGAAGATGCCCCGGACAGCCTTGATGAGTCTATTGATGGTATGGTGAGGTTGTTCGACGTAGCTACGAAGGGAAGCCATGGAGGTAGATTTTGGAATTTCCATGGCGAACAAGAGCCTTGGTAGCTTGCGGTTCATTCAGTGAGTCAGATGATAGGTGGAGTTGTCAAACCATAACACTGGATTTGAATCACCCAATTGACCACTTGTTCTAACGAAGAGGTGAGTTATAAGGCTGCCATCCCCAAAGTATCTCAGAGCATACCGACAGCGAGGTTTTCATGGAGCCTCCTGCCTCTCAGTAAAGTAGATGTTCGACTCGGCATGTAAGCTGGTCAGGTGCATAGTATATATTGCCTTCCTATGTCAATGACCCTGAGTCTATTCAAACGGGCTATACTGTGTATCTGAACCCTGCAAGACCTTCGATTGTCAATTTGCCCTCTTCTGACCTTCGATTCGAGAGCTTAAAGTGCACCGACAAGAATGCCACAACAACTAGGATCATTAAGTTGCAAGATATCAGTCCATAAAACCCTGGGCGATATCCTGGAGCGTCTTGTGATCGAAAAATCAAAGAACCAGTCACCCCACCAATGCCACCAAAGCTGACCATCATTGCGGAGCAAAATGCTCGTTTCCATTGGCCCCGAATATTGTTAGCCTTGTGAAATATTATCAGTAAAGACAGCTGAAAGCCAGCACCAAGTTTTAGCCTACCTGATATACCATCATAGCAGGTAGATTCGCATGGGTTCCAGCCGTTGTCAAAAAAACCCCAAAATATCGAGTACCTGCAGTACTTGCGAACCCCTGGTAAATTGTCAGTTCACACAGTTATCGTTATTGTACTGGACATACCATAATTGGAAGGCCTATGAGACATAGTGTAGCATTGAAAGCCACGATGGGTCCTCTGATGCGGTATTTGTCGCCAACCCATGAGGTTGCCAGCATCATTATTCCAGCAAAGCCAAAAGGTGGAGCTACCAGACACTGGGCTGCTGCAACCGAAAAGCCCATACTTTGTCGTAGAATGATGGGAAGAAAGAACCCAATCCCGGTGGCGTTAGTGACGACGCCAAAGAAGATCATTGCAAAACCCCAAACCTTGGGATCGAGGCCAGAGGATGCCCATCTCTTGAAGTTCCATGGCTCCGGCTCAACATCGTCTCGGTCTTTCGACAGCTGGCGAATCACAAATTTCAGCTCTCGTTCGCTCAGGAAGCGCCAGGATTTCTTCAAAGATCGGTCTGGGAAGTCTATGAGGAGAAAATACCCCACAATTCCAACGACACAGGTAAATATGCCTTCAATGATGAAAATCCATCTCCAGCCTGAGAGTCCGGCTATACCGTTCTATTCGGTGTTCATCAGTGAGCGCTTCTAGAAAGTGGCTCTGGGATGTTCTTTACCATCTGCATGAGACCGTATGCCAGGATGCCGGCAAACCCAGATGCAAGAGAGCCAATCAGATAGAAAAAGGAGTACCTCTTATGCATATCATATCTCGAATACCACGTCGAGATCAAGTACACGCAAGCTGACGAGAGTACTTGTCAGGTTCGACATTGAGGAAAATTGATTGTCACCTACCAGGGAAAAAGCCTGCTTCAAGCACTCCCAGTAGCAATCGGAGGCCCAGAAGCGCAGTCCATGTCTGTGGAAAGCCAAATCCAATCTGAAGATGTCAACATCGACTCGTGAAGCCTAGAGCAACACCGGCACAGGACGTACTTACCATAACAACGCCAAAAGCGAACGTGGTTCCAGCAAGGAAGAATCGTGGTCCAATCTTTCGGCATAGAATGGTCGCAGGTGCCTGGAAAACGCAGTATGTAGCAAAGAAAGCTAACACCACCACCGACTGCTAAAAATGTGAGCTCCTGTCCATAATATTCACACTGTCAGACGGCTATGGACTGACATATCTATAGCCGACAGTCAACTGAAGCTCCGTGGTTAGACCAGCTATGGCTGCGGCTCCAACATTGTTCCTGTCCATCACACTAATCGTGTACATGAATCCACATGTCACAATCAGCCGTCGATCAATCCGTCGTTTGATCTTACGCCAATCCTCGCGAGTGAATTCTAAGTCGAACTCATCTTCGTCGGAAGTTTCCTTGGACTTGCGTGTCAATGCTTCCTCGACATGAATGTCCGTTTGTTTCTCCAGTGAGATCGTGTCGAGCACTTCTGTGGTCGTTGCTCTATGTTGCATTTTGATCGAGGTAGAAAGGGTAGCGCATATGAAGATTTAGCAAAGATCCATTGATGAAGTTAGACTTATGTACCAGGACAATACGTATCATCTTATATGTAATGAGTGCCAATACCCAGTGTACTCCGCATGATCGACACGCTCTTTTCCTTTGTTTCAAAAAGCTGTTCGTTGTGATATGGTCGCCAAGTCTGGTGCATCAACTCGAGGACTCTGTCGCTGCGGGTAGTTGCCGTGTATTGCCGCACATTTGCCAGCCTGAGGATTACTGCAGTTCTGGTTCGAAGTCGTGGCCGACCGAATGAGTGGAGATTCGATCGCCAGGACGAGATCTCCAATTCCTTCCAACAAGGAAACTTTTAAGCCATGGACCAGTCCCAATTTGCGCCTGATATCAAGGCTAGCAGCTGCCCTCTCCTCTACCGACAACTCGAATGCTTTGCGGCCGAGGCTCCACATCGCTTCAAGTCCACACACATACTGGCTCCGTTGTGTAGCAAATATCTGGGGTCTCCAGAAATTTGTCTTTGTCACCAAGTTGCGGGGGCCCCAGGCTGGAGTCGGCAAACTATCGGTAACGTGTACTATCGATATTGGTACACGTAGCCGCACTTGTGGATGGGAATCGAAAGTGCGCGGGAAGATGAGCTGTACAATGGACAGGCTGTTTGTCATGGTCTCCCAATCTTGGGGTTTGATTAATTGACCTGACATACCGTAGGAATGGAGCGCCACAACTCTGAAGCATAATATTCATCGTATTGTGGTTTCTGCGAGAGACACAGTGCTGTTTCAGGCCGAAGGCGTGAATACTAGTCATCTACCGCTTCCTCAACCCTGCCACTTTGCTGATTCCACCCCTGCGTCCACTGTGCCTATGTCTGAAAGCGGAAGATCTGTGACATATCAGGATAGCATGGAACAAGTTTTCATGAAGCCAGTAACTCATTTCTTGACGGTCTCAGTCCTTTTCTCCAACTCAACTGGGCCACGATATTCAGTAGCAATCTCAGATAGCATGTATTCATCATCATTGAGATGGTGAAAGCGAAACCAGAAGACAACTGTCTGCACCGCAAGGACAATGGCAGGACCTGCCCACATCCAGATCAGATGGGGATCTTTAGTGACCGGGATAAGTATCTCTCCGAGAGCACTCGACAACGCATTCATGAAAAGGAAGATGGCCATCACTAGACCTCTCATACTCGGTGGCGATCGAGCATATGCAATCTCATATGCTGTGACTTGACAGAAGCACTCAGACACTGCTCCGAGGACAACATTAGGGACTTGTAACCAGATGCTCAAGTGGCTGACACCATCGCACGTGGAGGCGTAGTATCCGCAAGGCGAGGTCTTGTATACTTTCCACTGGACAATGGCACCAATCACGCCAGAAACAGTTGCCAGAAAGAAACCAAATGTAATGCGGTTGATGCGACCAAACTTGATGTTGTATCGAGCCAGGGTAGGGTAAAACACGTATGTTAAGAACGGAACGGTGACAATGATTGTCAATGGGTTAAAATTTCCCAACAGGTCATTGGGAGCCCCATTGGTAGTCATGCTCGCGCCTTGGTTATTGGCTACGGAGCCGACTCCACCATCGTTTAGGTATCAGACGGGGAAATAGAAAAACACCTCGGTGGCAGCTTTAGTAAGAGGTCAGAATGAATCATCTAAGTGCATATCACCACTGTGGGACTTGATGCTGACAGCGACTTACCAACGGTTCTTCGCACATCTTCGACGTTCTTGTCACTCCATGAGACCTGTATACCCTTGGAAGAAAGTGCCTCAGGCTTGACAGAATCCCAGAAACCTTGCTTCCAGATACGAAAATTGTTTTGTTTGAGAGCAGTTCCGATGATTTGGAGCGCTTGTGTTAGTTCCGAGGCACCCGAAGCTGGGGTGCGGTAGGTCCTCTTATAGATGAGTGCCAGAAGGATAGGTAATGAAAAGTATATGATTCCTGACTCAAGAAAAGCCAACCAGAAACCAATCAGTTTCTCCGAATATGTTGTGGCAAGCATAAAGAAAGCACCGACGTTGACAAATCCGTAGAAGATGAGCATGGTCCGTGAAGCTGTCGTTTCCGGATCCACGATAACTCTCTCGCCAGATTTCAGCGTTTTGATGTAGGGTTTCTGATGGCGGTTCTGGTCAAGCACAGTGGGCGCGATGTTAGGTTTGAATATCTAGAAGGTTACAGTCAGCGATCCGGGTAGACGCCGAGGATATCACTTCCACGAAGAGAATACTTACTCCTGCGCCGAGTGCCAGAAGTAACAAGCCGATGATGAATGGAAGAGCAGCGTGCGATTTACCCTTTTGCAATACTGAGGGTATCGCACCAACGATCTGTACGATATGGGCAACACCACAGATCAACACACCAACAACGATTGCGTAGTATCTTCCGACGTAAACATCTGCCCACCAACCCCCAAAGATTGGAATGACATAAGACAAAAACAAGAAGAGCAGAGTCAGTCCTGAACCAGCTTGAAGACCCATACCAAGGGCACCGGCAGTTTTCTGAGTATGCCTAGGGGGCGCACCGGCTCCATTACCACCTGTTCTGTCATCAGCAGGATGGTTCATATCAAAAATCAAGGAGCGTACCTTCGGGCAAGGGAAATTGTATAAAGTTAGAGAAGACTGCCTTGGCTCCATAGTATGACGCACGCTCTGCGAATTCGACAATGCAAAGTGCGAACGATACCAACGGCATATTGGCAGCGACCTTCCTAAGTGTTTTCAATTCTTCCTCAGTTGGGGGTGGATAATTCTCGTAGTCATAGTCATCCGATGAAGTCGAGGTGTGGGAGTTGGTGCCCTTTGCCTGTGCTTCTGTATCATGTGGCAGGCTTATTGAAAGTCTTCCTGTCTTCTCATCCACAGTGAGCGACGGGCGAGTAGCGATGACCTCGCCGAGGACGTTGTCACTACCATGAACGGCTGCGTAGAGGTGATCAGTAGTGTTGATTTCATCTTGTGTGGCATACGAGCACTTACCCATCCTGACGTTACTCAATTCAACTGCAAAGTTGGTTGATGGTCTCTGATATGGAGGCAGAGATCACGACCCGGAGACCAAAGAACACACAACCTGTTTAAATACCGATATCTGGTACTGTAGCACATGTTTGATAGACAGACTGGCATCGACTTATCCAGCGAACGATGTAACCCCTCAGTCCTGTGAGGTTGCACGACTTTGTTGATGCCACCTGATGCCAGTTGACGAAGCTCAAGTGGTTGTGGATCAGATTGATCTTTTTAGCCGTTCATGGCCTCATTTGCTGAGGCATTCGCCGGTTGGTACCACGATGTACTAGTTCGATCATTTAGCTAACACTGCAGAAGATCTGTCTTCGTAATGGTACAAGCTAGTTTCAGGATTGATTCCACCGGATCTGCGAGCTTTCTATCAGAGGAACGACGACCATAATTTTCAGTAATCGCGGACGCAAACGAAGCTCGAGAGCAGTTCGTTCCTACCCAATCAGGAGGCTGTATTGTAGATGCTTGCCAGAGTCTAGGAGTGATCACTTTGGCCTCGTGGGGGTAGGTAGACCATTGCACCATTACTGATCAATTTGACAATTGACGTTTCGCCATTTTTGTGCCTGTACTCCGTCTCCCATCCCTGTCAACCAATTAGTGATACCAAACCCCCACTCTTTGCAATTAACCTTGTCGAAGGCGTGAGCCACGGAGCTTATCCCTCGTATAGGCCATCTTGTCAAAGCTTGGTTATTCTGCACAGATCAGTCACCAGTGGAATCATGTTGGGCGAGACTTGGCAAGGTGTGATAAAAGTTGCATTCAGATATGGAAATATGTACTCCCGCCAGATCCAATCAAGAAGGGTATTCATCCAATTGAGGTTCTCATGGTACCAGATTGAAACTATTCGAAAAACCGAGATAATAATTATGCAAAAACCCTATCTGTTGACGTCTTGTTTACAAAACCTTGTGCAAATTTTTGCAGTGGATGCGGAAGTGCTGCACTTACCATCGCGTCTCAAGTGCTTCGAGGGGTAATGTGCAGTTTGGTCCGAATCTGAACTAGACTAGTCGCATAGAATAGCAGTCGACAACGGGGCGAAAGCTCAGTTGGCGATTTCCACGGTAGGATAAAAGAGCGGTGGACTGGACAAGATGGGAATGATGTTTTTGCACCAAGGCTATTAATGGCCGCTACGCTCCAATGTAACGCAATACTGTCTGTTCTAAGTCTTGGCCAGATTCGTGGTATGCATCGATGCTCAGATAAGGTAGTTTTAATAACCAATTGTAGTACTTCTGTAAGATCCTTCTAGAATCCATAGTGAAACCTCCCAGGATTTGATACGTCCACCCAAGATTTCTCTTGACCCAACTCTTTGCATCGTTGATCTCGATGTGACGAGATGCAATGATTGGCACTTACGCTGGCGGTCGAAGGATATGAGCAGTTTATCCTTCTGCTTATCGACAATTATGCATGTTAATTAGGACGCCGAATCGATTAGTTATAGCTTCTCATGCGAGCGGCATATACTACCTTCCCCTAAAGGTCTGGTAAAATCCTTTGTTGCCATCTACCACGAAGAGTGATGTAGATCGCCGAAACTAGCGCTTGCATTTCTTTCCCCTGGCGATGCTCTAATCGACCCCTGAAACCACGACATACTTCTCCCACTGGTGGATTGAGTCCTTTGGAGTGACAAGTACGGATATGTCGTGTACAAATATCAATTCTGAGGAGCGTATTGCCTTTGTCCTGTCTGACCATTTGCGCAGTTTGAGTCAATGGACATCCTTCGAAAGGAGCAAAGATGAACTCGGATTATCCAACTCATCGCTTTTATCTTCGTGACATACGTCCGATAAAGTCGAGTGTTCCTTGCCCACAAGCTCGTTCTGAGCGTGTAGCAGGATTGAATAGCTAGTCAGCCCTGACAACCCTGTCGGGAATCTGATATCAAGATTCAAATTTCCAACGTTTCTTCAACATAAGTGTTCCTATAGCGAATACACAAATGTATATTTCCGGTCCGCATATCGTTTATCACTTCGGCTCTCTTCTTCGATTTCCTCGTGCGTCATCTGAGCTATTTTACGTGCCTTGAGATTGTTGGCAAAGCGCAATTCGAAGTGATAGGCTGCGTAGCCCAGCCACGCAACACCGATCAAACCCACAGTGACCTTCAGTGGGAAGTGGTAGTCAGGCCCGTATTTGGGTTTGTAAAGTTCACTCCCAATAATACCACCAAGATTCCCCCAGCCGTTGATACCAAGAACAAGGGTCCTCTTACCAGGTTCTGGCGTATTTCCTGCTAGCCATGCAACAGTGATTGGAGCAGCCACGAATGTCCCGGCAAGTAAGATGACCAATCCTCCGTACCGAGCGTGAGTGTTTTCTAGCGGCAGAACAATCACCAGGATCAGACCAATTATAACCACTGTGATGCCACTGAGGATATGTATTGTTCTTTCGTGGAAGTGATCTGACGAGGCGGCAACGACAAGTAAGACCACTGTTCCAACAACGTAAGGGGGTACTGTCATCAGACTGCTTGAGTGTTTAGCATGTATTCTAAGTGGAGTTGGAGCAGAGCTGCAGTGTACATACTTGGCTTTGGCACCGGAATATCCCAGACCCTGGTCGAGTTAGTTATTCGCAGGTTCTCCAGCAAGCAGCCAACAGCTAATAATCTTCGTACCTTCACAACGATCGGAAAGAAGATCGTGAAGCCCTGCGGGGCAATACTAGCTAGTACATTCCACGGTAGGACGCACCACAACTTCCAATCAAGCGCTCCCTCAACAAGATCTCGTTTAGTCATCTTGTAAGTAGAATCCAGATTGGCAGAAGCATCCATGACCATGCGTCTTTCCGCATAAGCTCTTTCATGTTCCTTCAAGAACCATGCCTTCTTTGGCTCAGCGACAAGCCAGAATGGCGTGATGACCGCAATCAGAAGAGTGATCGCGCCCTCGATGATGAAGAGATATTGCCAGCTGTAGAGTGATCCATTAATGTGAAAGACACCCCAGGCAATGAGACCACCGAATGCACCAGCAACCGCGTATGATCCATAAAACAGTGCAATCCGGTAAGCCAGGTCAAATCGAGGGTAGAAGGTAGCCAGGTATGAGACGCCTGTTATTGCGTCAATCCGTGATGTTTTGTTCAGTTAGCAAAGAAGTGGCGGGCGGCTCACATGTTGGATAGAACCCAGCTTCGAAGACTCCGATCAGTAATCGCACGGCAATTACTTGGCCTTTGGTTTTGACAAATGCATGGGAAAGGGTCATGATGCCCCAACCAAGGCTGATGATCGATAGCCATCTCGCCTGCCCGACACGTTTACCAATTGCAGTAGAAATAGGCTGCAAAGGGACGAACTAGAGGCAATCATTGGAAGTCAGCGCAATTTCGGTAAAGCATCCTGCGGATAGAGTAGTATTCTTAGGAAAAGTTGTGCAACCAACAGTACAAAAGAACAACGAGGTAGCAGTGTTTATTGTGTCTGCAGGGATCCCAAGATCTTTTGTGAAGCCACCGATCTGAGCGTTTCCTAGATTTGAACGATCCAGACCGTTCAACAAGTAGATGAGGACACAGAAGGGAAGGACGAAGATGTCGAACTTCAGGTTCAATGCACGTGATTGATGCTTTTCCTCCGACGTAAGGGGTATGTAGCCCCCTGCTTTCGATCGAACTAGTTCGTCATGCACGGCGGCGGCGTCCTTTTCGCCGTGCACCTGATGCATTGCATCTGCGATGTCTTCAACATCTCTTGGATGTCGGTTAACCTCTGATTTGGTGCTGTTGTCCGCCATAATTGTCGCTGCTGCCGACTGAGGTCACAAGTTATTGAGAGACAGAGCTCGGCTTACTATTGAGAGCCGGGAATCCTTCATTTAAGCCGCAGTTCATATCACTAAATTGGAGTCGGCGTAAAGCTTGAAATTCTTGGAGATACAGCCAAGATCTGATCTACACTCCTTGGATATGTGATACGTCAGGTCCAACTGTCCAGGTTACTGTACCCGTGAGCGGTTCCTCGTAGCCAAGTGACGCGATGTTGCCAGTATTCGATCAAGCTCCTCACAGAACCCGAGGTTGCACTTCCGGACTTCTCACAACACTACACCCACAGCTACGCCGTCAGCTTAGATATAGTGAATGTAGCAGGAGGTACTCGAGACAGTACCTAAGTACTCCAATGACGTCAAGGCTCGGATCCATTCTGGTCAGAATGATGTCATTCGATCAGAAGTCTTTCAACGTTTATCTTTGGCACATCAAGGCTCGTTGTGATAGCCTTGCAGAAACTCCATCTTTAAAGTATATAGATTATTTGCTTGAAGAGTGCTTCGACCTGCACCACACACCCTTTCGATATCCTGTCGACAGTCGAAGTACATTCCTCTAAGAGACTTGGCACGCCCTGAGGCAAGATAGGCACAGGTCGCGCCACATAGCTCGGGGCCATCTTTGAATAATTTCTCGATCTCTTTCCTCGCTGCTTTGATCTCAGGATATTTGGCGATGACGTCTGGATCATGGGCGGCTGTTTCAACATATCAGTTCAGCTTCTTTGAGTCTGATTTTATTCTGGCATGGTAGGAATTTACCGGCTCCCATGGCAGTCATGACACCGCCTGGGTGGAGAGCATAAGTATGGATTTGTTCCCCTAACCCATCATCGTCGAGCTCTAGCTGCATATTAGACGTCGCGCGGACCACAGCTGCCTTCGCATCGTTGTATCCTAGGCCAAGCGGTGTATCGACGGTAGCAGACCTTGATGCAATGTTGATGATACACCCGGATTTACGCTCTCGCATCATCGGCAACACTTGGAAACTGCAAAGCATCGTCTGAAATGTGTCAATATGATGCTTTCCATATTGGGTATGGTACTCATTACGCTTTTGAAGTTCACTTCAACTGTCTTCCAGAAAGTGCTGAATGTTGCCATGGACATGGGCCTGCCCATAAACTTGCCCGCATTGTTCACGAGAATACTGCCATGGGTTAGCGGTGGATCAAACCATGTTTTTGTTTTGGTGTCTCACTCGACTGGTCCTAAATCTTGTTGGATTTTGGAGAATGTGTCTTGCACTTCAGCCTCGTTGGTGACATCGCATGCATATGCATGCGCTTTGACATTGAAACGCTCACAAGCCGCCTTGGTCTCTGACTGATCCTGTGAGCTCAAGTCTAGGATTGCGACATGTGCACCAGAGTTGGCAAGGTTTGTTGCGATCGCTTTGCCTATCCCTAAAATCGAACCAAAGCAAGGTTCACAAATCAGGGGTTTTTGCTCGAATCAGTCATCAACTACAGCTCAAATACCTCGGCTAGCCCCCGTGATAACAGCAACCTTCCCACTGTTCTTTCCCGCGAGTTCTTCCGGCGTCACTGGGCCATAATAGGTGTGATTGAGAGGTATCGTTGAGATTCCAAACTTAGCAGGGTCCATGACGAATGTTGGTAGTTGTTTCGAGGCACCAAAGTGTTTTGATGACTCTCAACGAACGCTCAGGCTTCTGGGTCGGAGACCGACCTTCCCCTGACTTGAATAATAGAGGGCATACATCAGGTAGTTGGTCAGTATGGATACGTTCAGCGGCAACCATCCACTTTTGGGGGAGTGTGGGGTTGGGAAGGCTGCATGTTTTTGGGGAACATGTGGAGAGAAGATGCATGAGACAAGACTCAGTGCATATGGGGGACCTCGGGCTCGGGCATTCTCTAGCATTTCGCGGGCCCCAATGCCCAAGAAACAATGTGCTGGATACGACCCCACCTCTTCCTTACCTATGTAGTTACTCTGTATCTACTGGGTACAGCTTTATAGAAATTTTAAATCAGAGGCCAAAAAAGATACGGCTTCAAATGCCTCAGCCCAGTAAGTACAGTAACCCCTATTCGGAGGGCACAATGAGTGAGTTGAGATGAGAAGGGTTTGTGCACTCGTTTAGACTCCTGACCTCATCAGATTGGACCACGCAAGAGAAAGGGTCAACCAGTAATGCGTCACAAGTATTGCATGGCACGATCAGTGTCAATCAGATTGTTATTGTACCCAGGTCAAATACTCGTGTATGAACACGAGGCAGCAACTTAAGAGACGCAGAATGCGCTGTTACGTCGTGCAGTTTTTAGGGGGTCATCAAACCCCCGGACCACCCGCAATTTAGACAAGAGCTCGATGACACATGCCAGCTTGAGCTTACTCTTTCACAAGGAGCTCTAGGCCATGTCAAAATACTTCTGCTCAAGGCTCTCATATGAATATAGCTGAGAAGCTTGATTCCGTATGCACGGATGGTTTTCGTGTCTCTCGTGCTGTCAACAGCTGAAAATTGATCGTTCTGCCGGAATTCACCGGAGTCAGCGCGAATGTCACTGTGTCACCACATTTCAGAAACCCATTGGACTTCACATCAAGCAGATTCGATCCAAGCTTGATGCAAGCTTCTCTTAAGGTACTTGGCTCTCAAAACAAGCGTGACAAGACATGGCTGCAGCTACAGACACAGCTTGTGGCTGGCTGTGAGCGCGTCTGCCGCGTTGAGACTTTGGGAAACGTGGTGGTAGAAGCTCCGGAACAATTTCCCTGTAGACAGGTCCTAGGCCGTGTGAATCTCAGCACTGATCATGCGTGTTCTGACCTGCAGCTTCAGGGTCATCATCTGAGGGTATAAGATATGACTCTGGGAACCCCAGTCTTGGGATTCACCACATAGCCGATAATTCTCAGATCTTCACTACATCATTTTCTTCGAGTCTAACTCAAGTCACTCCTTTTCAGGGCAAGCTCAAGTCACTCTTTTTCATCGTCTCGATATTATCTCCGATCACTCCTATCATCTCGCATTTCCATCTGCACAACCTACAAACAAAATGAAGTTCTTCACCGCTGTCGCTTCTTTGGCTCTTGCCTCTGCAGTTACTGCTGCTCCCAGCTGGATGGACTGGGCTTCCAATGATGACGACTGCCCTCAAGACACTTGTCTCCAGCAAAGTGACGCTGAGGACATTGTCAATAGATTCATCGCAGTTCTCAACCACCCCGACGTCAAAGCAGCCAATGCCACTGCTCAGGACCTCATCGGTGATAATTTCTTCGAGGAGTCGGACTCGATCAACATGCTCGCGGGTCACCCTGTGAGTAAAACCTGTGAACTTTTGGTCTTGATGTCTTCTGCTAACTTTGACATAGCTCGGCAGTGTTACTTTCTCCGGCAAGCAGAACTACATCAACGGTGTGCTTTTCGCTCCCTCAATCGATGATATCGAGACTATCAAGGTCATGCCTGCTGGCTGCAGCAACGTTTTGTGGTACTGGCAGATGATCATCGGCTCAAGACAGGCCCCCGTTAAGGGATTCAATCTGTTCGAGATCGATGAGGACGGGAAGATCGCTGATATGTTTGTTGAGTTCAATAACATCGGCTGGGGCATCGATATTGGATTCACTACCACCAACCCTGGAGGCAAGAAGCTCCCTACGGCATAAACCTCCGTACACAGGGCCAGGAAATCAATGAATCGAGCGTTTATGGCGGATTTTGCTCGTGCTCGTGCTCGTTCTTCATTTCGATTCTGAATAATTGTGACTATTCCGAGGTTGATATTGGCTCGGATGGCTGCTGCGTCATTGTGGCCTCTGGAGAAGTGGAACAATCCATGATGCCGCGTTGAAGGTTTTTGGGGCAGGATTTTGATAGTTCGGCCGGTTTGTTGTTTGAATAACTGCAGGATGCCAAGTTTAGTGCAAACCTTGGTGTACGATTACACAGAAATTCAAGACACTTCTTCAAGGCTGATTCCGTTTCCATTCTGCATCCAGGCGTCGAAGTGGTCTTGGCCCCATATCTGGCATGGGAAACCGCTTTACTTGGCCACAACTCTCAGTGACTTCGAGTATAGTGAACTTAGGTTAATAGTTTGCAATTTTCCGCTCGCTGTGTTCAGTCAACGTCGTTCTGAAAGAGAACCTTGAGTTTCGTTAAAGCATCATCGCAATTGACTTCCATGTTCGTGATAACATCAATAGATTCTTCCTTGTTGATAATCGATCTTGCGACTAGCCAGAAATAAAATGCATTTCGAAACATACCAGCCAACCTTGGGGGTTGGCCAGTAGTCTGTGCACAAGCACGGTCCCAGGAGATGCGCCATTGCGCTAGAGCTTCCCTGGTATCAGCGGTCATCGCACCTCGGGCCAATCGTCCACCGTCCGGGGCGAATGAGGTGGTCGGCAGATTGAATGAGAGGGTCATGACGTAGCCGAGAATATATGTATACAGGACTGGGAGAGAGTCAGTAATGGAGCTTGGTAGTTAATGGTATTGAGGGCCATTTCAATGAGCAGAGAGGCACGTGAGGACTCACAATGTATCAAAATAAACAAGTCAAATTTTGTGAGATCACCCAGACTGGCAGACGGAGGGCTCTCCTCAGATTCTGGTTCTTCGCTTGATTTCTTGACGATGGAAAGCGATCTCTTCACCTTCCCCTGGAAAAGCAAAGCAAACGCTTTGGAGATGGTGAGCCTGGGCGCAAAGATGTTACCGTCTTCCATGAAGGGATGTTCTGAGCTGAAGATCGATTCCTTGCACGGAAGATCACTGCCGAGCTCGACTAGGATCAATCGACATGGATGGTTCGTATATATTCGCATTGCACAATCAAGAAGAGCGATAACAGACATTGTTCTGTGATTCCCAGTCAGCAAACAGTCACTGTCGATATCACGTCGACTTGCCGAATTCGCGATTCCTTCTGCAACCAAGCAGTCTCGGAAATTCGATCAGAGGGTGTATGGCGAGCCTGATGTAAGCGTAATTTGCGAACAACCTGTGGATATCCCAAAACATTAGAATTGACCAGGCTTGCATTAAAACCCCATGAATACTGACCTTGATCACATCGCTGAATCTTGATTCCATAGCACGCCCCTTGGCAATTCGTGCTCCCGCCCAATATTGGGCAATGACCATCAGGAAACCAGCCTGCAATTCTTGAAAAGGAGTCCAATCATGACCACCAGGTCCTGCATAACTAACAGACTCGTGTTGGAGAACATGGCTTGCCTCCATCTCGAGAGAGAATATCTCGGAATCAAAGACGACCAATTCAGCCACGTCGATGAGCTTTTGTGCGGCGAAACGTTCCGACCGATTTTTCGAATACAGTGCACCAATAAAAACAACGGATACCAAAAGGCTCAGAGGGACTTCAGCAGGGTCGAATGAAGGTCGGTGAAGCATAGGGCAATTCAAATGCCAATTCCGAAAATAAAGGTTGGTGAATTTCGTGATCTTCTCGGTCGTTAGGAGAAAGTTTGCGTATGTTGTGAGCTCTTGTCGACTTCGTGGTTCGAGAGCGAGGCACCAAAGCTTATTGTAAATTGCCAGATTCAAAGAGGAGGCATGATTTGCTTGCTCTGGCTGCCCCGGACTCGGGTCAAGTGATGTCCTATCCGTCTGCCCGTCGATATTGAAAATCGAAGGATTGTAGAGGTCGATTTGGGTGTCACTGGAAGAATACGAAGGAGAGGGTATCAAACCAAACGGACCGGTCCAGAAATCGAGATATTGATCGTCCAGACCAATAGGAGATTCGAACACGCTTAGATAATCGATAGCGTTTGCATCTTTCTCGGAAGGCGAGTTGAGGGCCGATGCGCTTTGCTCTTCTTGCTCGTCCTTCCGCTGGTGAACTTCTAAGCTCCGCAGCCTGTCATCCGATGGAGGTAAATTGAAAGACTCTGTAAAAGTATCGACGCCGCCATTCAAGAGTGCTTTGATGGAAACGCGATCGTCAAGAAGCACAATATCCACTGACGAAATGTTAGCCGGCACTTCTGCAAACATTAGAGCTCTGCAAAGTCCACCATTTGAGGGTTCTTGGGCGACTTTTTGGACACACTGCGTTTTCTTCTTTTCGCACGGCGCACATGGGTTTCCGCCGTCGCAACGAATTTTAGAGGTGATACACTGATAAGATTAACATTAAGACCATGTCCGGTTCAAATATCCATTAAATGCTCACCGTTACACATGCGTGTGGTTTTCGGCCTTTTGGAATAGCAGAGGGTGGCGTCCTATCCCCACGTCGTTGGCAATGGCCGTAATGCGTCTGGAGGCGATCCCTTAACCTGTCAGAACAAGAATTTGCGGTTACAGGAATGAAGATTATTACTTCCGCGAAAACTCTCTACCGCAAAATATGCAGGAAAATGGCTTTGCGCCAGTGTCTTTGTGCACCTAGTTAGATGTATGATCAATGTACCGACAGGTAAGGAACTACTGACGTCGAGTTTGATGGCGTTTTAGATGTTCGGCACGCGAAAAGTTTTGCCCACAGGTCGCGCATCGATAGCGTTTTTCGGAAGTGGGAGGTGTCATGGCAGTGTCTGCAGCCGGGTTGGACCAAGCCGATGAAAGAAGCGCCTGACTTCGGACCAGATCGTGGAAGTCGTCCATCGTCGCGCTTAGTTTGAATCTACCCTAATGCTGGCTCTGTCTCGTGGACGAAGGCATCGTCTGAATGTGGATGATAAAGAGATGGGGTTCGAATGACTGAAGTTCCGGAAGTTGCTTCTTGCCGGCTGAAAAAGCCAAGGCCAAAGGTGGCAAGGATGTCGATCTGTTCTTGGGCCTTGGGTCCGTGATTGGGCTTGCTCGCCTAAGATTTACTGGGCGAGCCTGGGGAAGATCCGTTCTGGGGGAGGCGTCTGGAGGCCATCCACGCCCCAGTCTCAAGAAATATCCCGGTTCACACAGCCTTTGTATTTTCTAGGAGTGACTCGTCAGGGTCGGATGCGGGGGTACGTGGGATAAGTGATTTTTCTGGCTTTTAGTCATTGCTAACCAGGTACCCAACAAACTACATAGGAAGGTAGGTAGATGCCTAGGTGGCGAAGGTATGCCCACAACACCGAGTAATGCCCCTCCAAAATGTCTACTAGGCAGTTAAGTAGGGCTGCGGGGTTTACAACCTCTTGAGGCCAATGGACGCCAAAGCAAGGCCGAAGGCCCCTTGATTCGCAGTCCGATTATTCGACTATCTAGTCTTTTTGCACAGCATGGTCTGACGATGAATTGGTCTCACAATCTGGACCCAGAAGAGCTTTTTCAATAAACTGGGATCTGTCTGCGATAAATAACAAGCCTAGAAATAGTGTACAGCTGTTTCACGGTCATGCCATGCAAGCTGTCCAACAATCACCCTCCCTGACTAGTTTGGGAGTAGGAAGAAAGTGCAAGAACATCCAGGCTTCGGGGACGAACAAAGACGGCCAGGGTCTTTAAGCGATCAGTTGAACTGCAGGGCTTTTCTACCTCCGAACTATATTTCTGTCTGAAGCAAATCGGAAAGGTCATCGGAAAAACCCCCCAGCTACATACTGTGGGGTATCACACAAAGTCATTGACATTGATTGCGAATGAAAGAACCATGCCTCGGAGCTAGCAGCGAAAATTGCCCTCCTCTGGAAGTATAGAATTGTAGTGTTGCTTGCATTGGTAGTGTTCTAGTAAAAGGAGGTACTAAGAAGAGAATTCCCAAGCTGTGCCTGGCCGACTCCATTCCAGAGGTCAAATCGGAGGGAAATGGGTGCGACAGAAGCAAGAAGCCATAATTGGGACGTCTGCAATGGCCAGAGCAGTATCCAATTGTGATTTGACGCTTTCAGCCTCAGAGTTGCGTCCCAGTCTCAGCAGACATTCGTGGAGACCGTGCAGGGCCCAAACGTTGGCGGGGTGTCGAAGAGGCCTTGGGAGAGTTTCGTCTATGCCCAAATCCGCACTGTAGACAGACACTGCCTTATCGACGTAACCTTGCTCTAGTAGCAGTGCTCCATAGGCATGTCTTGGTGGCTGCATCCACCCCCAAGGTTCATCATATGGCAATGCATCTACTAGAGAAATCGACTCTCGCAACTTCTCATAGGCCAAGTCATAGGATCCGCGACGATATTCCAATTCTCCCTCGAGCATCCTATCCGCGATGGCAAGAATATCGAGACATGAATTGTTGAACAGCATACGTGATGACGGAACTCGCTTCACCGCATCGCGAAATAAAAAGTGCTGCTGTCCTGCTTCATCCACTTTGCCGGTTACTGCAAATGCAGTTCCTTTGCCATAGTGCAGTAGAGCTGTCGTCACCGCATAAAGTTGTTGATCCTGTGGAAGCTCTAGTGCAAAGATATCTTGCCAACGGCCAAAGCGAACGAGTACATGGACACGCATGGCCAGAATCCCTTCGAGCCAATCGGCCATAGGAGGAGATTTGACTCTTAGCAGTTCTTCGGGGATAGAATTCTCAAGCCATGCCATCGTTTCCAACGCCACAGCTGACAGCCCAGCGAACATCGCAGCATATATGCGAAAGTGGTAGTCGTGTGCCCGGTAGAGTGTATAGAAATTTGAGGGTCCTCTGCGTAGTACGAATTTTTCATCTGCCCGGATTGCGTTCATGTTAGAGCTAATAGCACGCTGGTAATCGCCGCAGAGAATGTCAAGGTGTGTAGGCATATGCTCTAGGTGGCCCGCATCCGGGATGAGGCCTCTCAAGCGATTGGCAATCGGCAATGCTTTCTCTGGTGTGGCCGACATCTCCCAGAAATGTATGTAGAGGTGAAGTAGTCCCGGGTGTTGTAGTCCTCCGTCCTGTGCTAGAGCACGATCTAGTATTGCCCGGACCTCCAATGTTCTTGCGCCCTTGGCAGGTAGTCCTGTGGTTAAATCCCACAATTGCCAAGGTGTGAGGTTCATCAGTGCATCCGCACATAATGTCGCCACCTCCAAATCATCTGGAAAGTCCTTGTAGACATTTGCCATCGCATCAGCATATGACTTGTTCCAAATCGAGCAATCTTCTAGTGGTTTTGACTGAGGATAACGAAACTCGAGGGCAGCGATAAGTGCCTGCTCTAACGGCGAACATGTCGATGACCTTACTCTCGCGTTTTGTACTGCGTCGTGGGTAAGAACAAGCATCTCTTGGAGTTCCTCGGGATCGAAAAATCCCCAGGGTTTGTTGTAGTTAGGTCCCAGTGCGTAGGCTAGACCCCAGTATGCCAGAGCGCAATCTGAATCATGCTGAATCGCCTGTTTGAAGCATTCAACAGACTCTTCGTGGTTGAAACCATAACTCCAAATCAAACCCCGGTTGAACCATTGTTGAGCGTGTTGGCTGCGGGTGCTGATGGTGCGAGAGTACCTGCCCAGGTCATAATAGTCATCGTCCGAGGACAAAACAGTGGATTCCACCATTGAAGTTGACGAGCTACCTCGTGATGAGTACTAGTAGTATTCGGTCTTTTGGCTAAGACTGCATTCGCAGTCGATCCCCTACACGTTCACAGAGAATAAGTTAACACGATGTCTCATGTATCCGAACTCGAAAACCGTTTATGCAGTATTGAATTGCATGATCATTCAAAGAGTTAGCTGACAGCTTATGAACTTGTGTTACTCCAAAAATGCAGGCTTGCGAAAAATCTCTGTGCTTTCGTGTCCAGAGGTTATCTTGAGTGGCCTGACAGAGTCGGGAATATTCGCTATGAGGAAGTCAAGCTCTCGTTACGTTCGTCCAAAGAACTCTAAGGTAAGTTGTACCTAACAACCACTCTAACCGCCTTGATATTAGACTGGAAGGGTTCTTCCGCCGTTGCAGAAGGACTTCAGCCCATCCAACTTCCAGATTAATTTGTCCCTCGATCTAACCTACTTACTGCTCAGTTGTAACTTCCTGGTAGCTGCTGCAAGAGAATGAATTAGTAGATCTGGTGCCAACATAATTGCCTGGGTTTGACCGAGCTTGGATTTGTTTCGCCTCCCCGTCTCAGCTTGAATCGAACATCCTTCGCTTGGCATGACCTCATGCTGTCGTGGACGTGATCTCGGCACAACGCGTCACTTGGTTTTCTTTGGTAATGAAATTTGAGACTTTCGTCTTCTGAATTTGATATCGATGGAAGTCCCGAAGATTTGTGCCTCCAAGGCCGTCTAGAGTAATATGTTATGACGCAGATGATGTCCCCAGTACGCTCAGTGCATAAGATCGAACCAAGAAATGGGATTTTCATTCGACTACTTGAGCTGCGAGTCGCCTCCATCGAAATGGCAATGGTTGACAATAATTTCAGATCACGAAAATCACATTCGTTACTAAGTATATACACTAAATCTATTTTCCAAGTACAGTATTAATCCTACAGCCTGGGACCCCTATTTGTCCAATGTCGAACAACAGCAGAAATGAAGTCGTTCGTATGCTCATCCTCGAAACCGATGAGCCACACCCGGACACGGTAGCTACGCGCGGGCGCTTTGGGGACATCCTGGGCAATTTGTTTGCGAAGGCAGGACGAGAACACAATCCTCCGCTCGGAATTGAGACGGATATGCATTATGTTGTTGAAGATGGCTCGAAAGACGCTGGCCATGTTCCTACCATCGAAGAGATTCCCAAGGGCACAACCGCGATTTTGATAACTGGGAGCATGTACGATGCACACGGGGACGACGAATGGATCCTCAAACTTGTCAAGCTGTTACGGGCTCTGTGGCACGAGAGACCACAGATGCGATTCAGTGGCATTTGCTTTGGACATCAACTCCTCTGCCGGATGTTGGGTGGCACCGTCGAGCCTCACCCGGAAAATGACTGGGAACTAGCACACACCAAAATTGAACTGACTGAAATTGGCCGACGAGTCTTCCGCACGGAAGAACCCAGTCTCCATCTCCATCAAATGCATCAAGACCAGGTGACCTCTGCGCCATCAGCGCAAACAACAGACTTGCTGGACCTCAAGGACGATGTTCATATCTGGGGTCGGACTGAGCATACATTCGTCCAAGGCGTCTATCTCCGAGACAAACTGTTCACGAGCCAGGGACATCTTGGATTCGATGAGAAAATGGTCAAGAGGCAGGTCGACATGCGAAAAGCAAATGGAGTGATAGAAGACTCTGATTTCGCGGAGGAGAGGAAGGAAACTGCAGAACTGGAACACGATGGTCTCATTGTCGCTGCTGCAATCCTGAGATTCTTCCATGGTGAAGACCATGGGATTTACTAAGCACTACTCCTAGATACTACTCTTCCTATCCCTAGTCCTCAAAATCTGCCTCTAGAATTTCATTTTTGGCCCGTAAGTACAAGCTCGCTCAGTCTAGCACTAGCTTTTCGTGAGCAGGTTTGACCTCCATTCCATTCACTCTCTTGGATAGAAGCAAATCTGCAGCTCGCGTCCGTGCTCGAGATCGGCAAAAATCTCCGCACTGCCCATTCGGAGATGATAAAGCGGACATCAGAAAGCCGTTCAAACTGCGGCTGTGACATTCGACGGACCAATTGCTCTTGAGGGTGGACAACATCAATTGCAAGTTAAAGTTCTGGATAGTTAATTTTTCTATGCAACAAGGATTAAATCTCCGGAGATCAATGTAGTTGTGGAGCAACAGGTTCTCCGGACAAAGCAATAGCGCTGCGAACATCTAAATCGCCGTAGTACTTCCAGGATGTAAAGATGGGAACAAATACAGCTTCGTCAGATGATGTATTCCACTATACGACCGTGTGCTCAGCTGTTTTCAAAGCCGCGTCCAGTATATTGATTGGACGGTGAATTAGGGTTCACTGTTTCATCACTTCGCATGACGCCAATTGAAACTTGTCCTTTCTCGCCCGATGCTTTGATCAAGCTGTCGTACGAGGCGGCGGTCCAGCACCGTGGCATTTCCACTCTGTTCAAACAGTGACAGGTATCTCACTTCAAGAATCTACCCTTGTTCTAGATAGGCCATGTGGAAGAATAAGGACTGATCAACCCGTCATCAAGGAGTAAGCCCCAGGGCACTAGTGTTCCAGTCTCACTATCGCTATTCAATAGAATGTTCCGTAAGGCGAAGCCACAATAACCTTTCGCGCGGCCAGAGCGATACCCGTAAGCTAGGTGGCAGAGGGGAGTCAGAACAACACGGTTCACAGGGTATACATTCAAAGGCGAGAGGTTGTTTCGAACCGTCTAGGGCGACGAATTGCGGAGAATGGAGGCATATCAAGAACCGCCGCCCTTCACCAGGGATGATTGACCACTTTGAACCTACGCAGCAGCGGTCTTTTGCTCGGCATTGCCAGCAGGAACACTCTCATGCGTGACGTCCTCATCGGCGGAATCTTTCTTTTGGAGTGCCTGGGGCTCGGATAAGCCATATATAATGATAAATGCCATACCGAGAAAAGCGCTGATACACGAAAAGACAAACGCGACAATGCCGCGAGCCGTGAAACCAGATGGCAAACCCGGCAGCTGCGTATTCTGGCCAGAGAGATCAAGTAAATCCTTGGTATTCGCTGCGGCGTTGCCCTCAATCGGTACCCCAGCAGCGCGACACACATCATAGTGCTGTTGGGGGATATGGTGAGTCAGCTGGATCGCGTCAGGAGCCTCAATGAAGACCATGGCTAATCCCTGCGCCAGGTGCCAGTCGATATGGCAATGGAACAGCCAGACGCCCGGGTTATCGGCGACGAAGCGAATGACATAATGTCCATGCGGTGGGACGACGAAGGTATCTCTACGGGATGGGACCGTCGGAAAAGCCGAATGGTTGTTGGGATCAAATGGCACTGGATCAATATCGTGGTAGTCGTAGAAGTGTTTGCCATAGGCAGGGGCGCGGTCGATGACTTGGAAGTTCCGGCCGTGTAGGTGAAAGGGATGGGCACCGGTATCATTGTTGTTTAGGACAAGCTGCACGACCTCGTTGTGCTTGAGCACCATTGGCTGTGTGTATTCGCCGTAGATGGCTTCGTTGGTGGAGAGGTTGCCAGAAGACATCACAGTGTACAGTGTAGGGACTTGGGGAGCATTGAAGGTTATGTCGTTCAGGAATGCGTACCCAATTCCGTTCCGCAAGTTACCCATAACAACCGTCACCTCGATCTCGTGGTCGGGCTCCGGAAGGAGTGCCATGCCGTCAGATGGAATGAGGTTGATGTCATCGAATGGTACGAGATCAGCTGAGGAATCGACCTGCACGACTGCTTCAACGTGTGGTGCGGAAGCATTGTATTCTAACCAGTTGGTGTTATTTAGTTGTAGCGTTGGGGCGATCGAATCGAGAAGCTCAGCATCGGCCACCATGACAATAGGATAGTTCTTCTCCGTCGAATTCTTGGTGGTTAAGAGAACAGCGTATCGTTGGGCGGCGGCGAGATACAGCATATCTGCCTCTGCAGGCTCGGTATATACACCGTCTACCTCAACAATCCTGAATGTATGGTCCTCGATATAGATGTACTGTCCAACGAAGGCGGCGATATTGATAAACCTTATCAGATAGGTGGTATTGGGCTTGACAGGAAAACTCGACTTTTGGGCATCGTTCATCAGGAAGGAATTGGGCACGGGCTCAGCGCCGGTCGGGTTGTACAGCGACAGAAACCGAATATCTTCCACCAAGTCATGGTACCAGTCGCTAACGGTCAAGGTGAGTTCTGCCTCGTATAAATCACGAAAGTAACTGTCTTCATCGTGGACAATGAGAGCTTGACGATAGCCATCGGGGTAGCAGAAGTCGGTATGGCAGTGGTACCAGTAGGTGCCGTTTTGATCGATGGAGAAGTTATATGTGAAGCTCTGTCCGGGGACAATAGGACACTGAGTGATCATAGATGGCCCGTCCATATCACTGGTTCCCGTTTGATACATACCGTGGAAGTGAATACTAGCGTTTTTATCACCTAGGCCATTGTACATATTGACAACCAGGCGATCACCCTTGTCGACCTCGATGACGGGCAGCGGCCACTGTCCGTTAATGCCGATGACTTTCCTCTCTAGCAAACCATCCGGGTTTGCATTGACCCATGAGACATTGAAATCGTAAGTAACTGTTTTCGCGAGCGTCCAGCCGGCGAACAGCAAGACTACCAGTAAACAGGGATGCATTTGGGCAAGCTTTGCCATGGTCGCAGCCCTGAAATGAGATAGTCGAGGTCGTGTAGAGAATGGCCAAGGCTTATCGTGATGCTTGAAGCGAGAGTTGATGGCCTGTTTTGCCTGGCGCTTTACTTACAGGAGCGCATGTAGTGAGACACATGGGGGATGGGACCTTTCTTCTACCCATGCTGGATCAACAGCATGAGAAGAGAAGAAGATCATCAGGCTTCGGGTTTGACCACCAGTCCAAGGATTGGCTGCAATCATGTGTTAGGCCCGGTCACGGCAGAAAGCTCCCAACCTCGAAGATCAAGCGCTTGCCAAAGTCTCTTATTCTGTTTAAGGACGCGTGGCCTCATAATCTTATTGTGTTTGAGTTGCAGCTTAGACATGCTCCTACACGGTTTCTTACCGGAAAGGTTCGTGGTTGATGTACGATTTGTTTTATCTTATCCAATCATATCTGATAAGCGAAAGCTTCAACGTGGGATTCCGAAGTGCTGGCCCATTTGCTAGTCCATTTCCACCCCCCCTTCTTGCCGATTAACCTGTTCCCCTTGAGATTTTTTTCTTACACCAATATGTAGACCCAGTTATGGACCTCCGAAGCTCGGCCACGACCCTCTGGCTCGTGAAATGCACGTTCTATCCTCAGTATTTGAGGTCACACTTACCGTGTGGGTCCAGTCTTCCAGCACAAGCATGCCGGTACAAAGCTTGAATTTGAGCGTGAGTGGCTTTCTTTCGCGAATCTTTAACCTCTGTACTTGAATTTGCCTGGTATAAGATCCAACTTCGAACAACCTCTGATAGAACTCTGACTTGCGCTCCCACCACCCTTGGATTCAATACCTCCGTATTTACAACATAATTTACCATGACCAATGTATTTGGTGTTCAAGTATTCTTCATTGTCTTTCGAGAATGTCTCGAAGCAATCATTATTATCTCAGTGTTGTTTTCATTCCTCAAGCAGTGTCTGGGTCAACCTGACCAGGATTCGCTCCTTTACAAACGGCTGAAACGACAGGTATGGGCGGGCTCGCTTTCAGGTATCCTCATAGCCTTGATCATCGGCGGTGCCTTTATCGGTGTCTTCTACGGTCTAGGGCATGATCTATGGGCTCAGTCTGAGGACTTGTGGGAAGGTATCTTCTACCTAATAGCCAGCATCATTATTACCATTATGGAGCTGGCGATTCTTCGAATCAATAAGTCCAAGGAGAAGTGGCGAGTCAAGATCGCAGAAGCTCTAGTTGCTAGAAGTAAAGACCAAGATGCTGCTTCGAGACTCGGTAATTGGTCTCGCAGATACGCCATGTTCATTCTCCCTTTCATCACCACTCTACGCGAGGGCCTCGAAGCAGTGGTATTTGTCGGTGGTGTCTCACTAGGCCTGCCAGCCACTGCTTTCCCCATCCCCGTCATCACGGGCATTCTATCTGGCCTTCTCGTCGGTTTTCTTATCTACCGTGGGGGCAACCAGATGACTATCCAGTACTTCCTTATCGCCTCGACCTGTGTACTGTATCTGATAGCAGCTGGGATGTTCTCCAAGGCTATCTGGAGCTTGCAATTCTGGAATTTCCAGCGGAAAGTTGGTAGCGATGTCGCCGAGGCTGGAGACGGGCCGGGCTCGTATAACATCGATCAGACCGTTTGGCATGTCAACTGTTGTAACCCGGAGCGCGACCACGGGTGGGATGTATTTAACGCGATCCTAGGTTGGCAAAACACTGGAACCTACGGCTCAGTCATCTCCTATAACATCTACTGGCTCTTCATCATTGTGGCTATCTGCTTCATGTTGTATGAGGAGCGCGCTGGGGAAATCCCTCTGCGCAAGCCTTTTTTCAGGGTTGAGGCCAGGATACCTGGGTTCAGAAGGTTTGCTGCTCGCAAACTAGGCCCGAAGAAAAATGCGGAGCAGATAGTCGGCCAGATAAATACCGGCACTTTCACCCATGGACTCTGAATGACATGGATTTGGCAACGCACGCGATATGGAGTTTGAAGTGACATGAGCTGCTCTGACGAAGAAACCGCAGCTCAAAACCTCCCTGCCGTGTGCTGGAGTCTCTATATGGGGTCGACATGGAGAAATTATTTTTTTCAGCTGTTCAATGTTTGCCTAGCTAGAGGCGAAGGTTCCTGTGTTGTGTTGAGTACAAAGACCCTGGACATCTTGATACCATTCGCATCAAGCCTTCATGAAGAACAACCTTAACTCTAGCTTAGTTGGCTTGTTTACAATAACGTCACCCTTGAAGATTGCTGCACTTTTGAGAGATCCCCGTGACCTGATATTGAAGGGCAACGACTCGGGACAGGCTCGTACGGAATTAAGCACCCAGCCAGGCCAGGCCTTCTTTCTCACCTCACCTCTTACACTGTAGATCGTGACTCTGGTATGCCGAGCATATCAATTCTCTCTTGGCTGATATGCAACCCGAACTACTAAGTTGGTAGTGGGTGCACTGGATGGAAAGTGGTATGAGCACATTCATTTAGGGCCCGCACAGCTCAGCTGATACTTAACATCGAGCAAAATTCAAAAGTTAGTCTGACGAGTTTGCCAAGTTTGCGCCATGCTGACTCGGCTGGCGCTTGGGCATAGTGTGTCAAATTGAACTTGACGCTCGTGAAATTTTTAGGATTGTGGTTCCCTGGCAGGGAAGACTTTCCACTTGTTACTACTTAGTACTTAGTATTCTTGATGTGTCGGCACTCATTGCAGTTCCGAGGAAGTTCGAATGGGTTTGTGAGACCGCAAGACAGAGCTCTGCGTTCAATAACAACGAGCTCTGCAGTGGGGTTCGTTTTCAGTAGCTAATAATTACAATAACGTCAGATAAGGTAAATCCAAGCAACAGGCCAGGTTGAGTTCAAATACATCTCCTCATGGGTATTATTGCTCCACCTGTGCTCCTCTCCCTCATGGGCCACGGCCTGCCTCTCTTATCCTTCCGGTGTCGGCGGTGAGGAAAAGCTTTTTCACCCATGCAGGCTCAGAGCTTAGTTAAATCTACCTCAAAAAGCTAAGTTAGTAGTGCTGTTGGTGATTACTCCATCGTATACGTAATTTATGGTGCTAATATTGGCCTTGAAGCAACTACAGTACTAGAGTAGTGTGATATAAGTAGTAAGTACCAAGTTCGTAAGGAAGGAGTAAGCCTTGACAGTACACTGAGTAGATATAAATACTATACGAGAGGTATAAGTAGGTGTAGAAAGACCTGCTGAGCTTTTCGGCTAAAGTCCCTACATTCGCAGACGTGAAAATGATACTTAGTACATAGTATTTATATATTCTACTACCACTCACTGCATTCGCGTTAACGGTTGTGTCCCTAGTTCCAGAGGTACTTAGTCCCTGAAGCAAAGAGGCTGTATCTTAGGCGTGTTGGACTTGGAGTTCTGGTGCACACCTTACCGCTTAGTAGCGCTTGGGAATGTATGAAAGCTAAAGAGGAGGGCAGAGGAACCAGGTGAACTTACCTAAGCTACTAAGTACTAGTAGAGCTATGGTTTACCAGCCAAAGGTGAGTAGACGATATCTGAATACTTAGAAGTACTACTTTTATTCATCAAATCGTCTAGATTCTATATTCGCGAAACGGGAATAAATAGTAGTGGTGACAGAAAACACCAAGAACTTGCAGCTTGAAGCAGCAGCACCCTCAAATCAAGAAAGATGGAAAACTGCTTATAGTAACCGCGTCCATCACAAGTACTTGTTCACTTACTAAGCCGTGTACTGCACTGGGCTGTTGAATTGTCTCAAAGGTCGTATTTCCCGCTTCCATGAAAGGCCGTGCGCGTTCATTCTCGGGCTCAGTTACGGTCCTCTTCCTGGGTTTGATTTAGCCACATAGTCCGCATTTATTGATGAGCACTAAGTACCTACTATTACTAGTATTTTCTTCTTTTGAGCTGCTGACAGCCGTATTTCCTAACACGCGGTCCAAACTACCGGTTTTCAACTATAGACCATGGACTAACCTGACCCGGATTTCAATTCGGCTCCAGTCCGCACTTGCCTGGGCTCCGCTCGCCAAGTCGAGGTGGGGAGCGAGCTAAACGCGTTCGAGCTGGATTCGTGGGATGCTTCAAACCTCGTGTAGTCTAGGATCATACATAAGTAAGTAGTACAGAGTCGCACTTCACTGTATTGAATAGCAGATGGAAAATATGATCTTGAGCTTGACTCTTCGCTGACACGTATTACTTGAATATCAGAGCTTAGTTTTTCTGCTTAGTACTTCGCATCGATACTAGTATTACAAGTATTGAGTACTACCTACTTAGGAGTATAAGCACTGCATAGTACTTAGCTAGTACTAATACTTTCCTAACAAATACTTACTACTAAGTGCTTTTGGCTAGCAACCTAAGTTTCGATAGTTCCATTTCATTCACTCTTCGCCTGAAGATTTCACTAGGAAAGCTTGTAACGGCCATCATCACACCTTGTGATCGAATTCCATGATCTCGCTATTCACCAGGGTCTTGTCTAGGTGAAGTCTTTCCTCAGCAGAGAGATTCGTCAGGTCGACAGCGACTTCATCGCCAAACTTGGCTGCGATTTCTTCCAGCGCCAACCCCTTGGTCTCAGGATAGAACAAATACATTCCCATCGCGCCGAAAAGTGGTATGATGACGAAAATGAGGTAATACTTCCACCCAATTGTGTTGAATGCGACAGGAGCACACATTGTGTAGATCAGGCTGAATGCGAACAACCCTGACACGCTGAAGCCTGCCCCCTGCGCCCTGATCGATGTGGGGAATAGCTCGCTGGCGTAGACGTATGAGCTTGCGTCCATGCTGCCTCCGAAGAAGGTCACGAAGAGATATAGAAAGAAGACCCCGAAGCCGTTGCCAATCTTATTATCAGTCCCGCCATAACGAGCAAGACAAGCGGCAAACCCTGCGACAGAAACCGAGCAGCCAAGCTAAGCACCACAATGTCAGCAAATATGGGCGTCGAAAGAAGAGCTTGATGCTACCATACCTGTCCAACAACCATGATCGGTATGCGACCCACTTTATCGAGCAGCATTGCGTTGATGAAGTTCATGAATGCGGCCCATGTGTCCCAGATTGCATACAACATGAGAGGCATTGCTCCATACAGGTTCAGGCCATTGTAGAGCAACACTTGATAATTATTGATAACTAAGAGAGTTTGTGGTCAGTGATTCGAATTCAAAGCCACTTGGAGAAGGATAAAGGAGCTTTTACCTAGACAACCTGTCGACTGAACCAGTCCTCTGAAACAATTTAGCAATAGATCTTGAGCTAGTGGGGTTCGGCAGCGAGTTAACTCACAGCAATAAAAACCCAAACAGTAATCGCTTTCTGTAGGACTTCTTGGAGAAAAGCAACACCCAGCCGCGTATGTAACCTTGCCTCCAGCCCTCACGCTTTTCAAGGTCCAGCTGCTGACGGATCTGGTAGAGTTCTTCTCTTGCAGTGATGAAGTCGACATCTTCCAGGGTGTGATGAAGTCGCTTCAATATTTCGAATCCTTCTTCTTGTCTATCATTGGCAAGAAGATGTCGAGGAGATTCTGGTAGCCAGGGTGAGCCGATCAAGAGGCAAAGAGGAGGCACGATTTGAAGAGCCAGGCACAGACGCCATTGTGCGACTTGACTCTTCAAGAAGTAGCACCCATAGCCCGTCCAACCGGCCAGGCCCTAGAGAATCATCAGTTTTTGCTTCACTCAAGTGATGTTCTGGGAGAACTCTTCACGTACATAGCCGACGCAGAGGATGAAACCATGGGAGCCCACCAAACGACCTCTTGACTTTGCAGGAGATACTTCGGATTGGTAGAGTGGGGTGATGACATTAACCATGCCGACACCCACACCCATCATGAATCTAGCGACGAGGAACATTGCTATATGCACTGATCCTGCTTGCAGTGCACCAGCAACAATGCACAGAACTGCTGTAGCTTGGATGGATTTCTTTCGTCCGATCTTGTCAGCCAGATACGTGATCAAGAAGCACCCAATAAGGCCTCCACCAGCAAACAACCCATTGGTAGCTGGTGAAAATTATCAGTTTTCAGGTCCATGAATCATCAGCGGATAGATAGTATAGCAAGAACTCACCTCCTGTGATTCGAGACCCTTCGTCAGACTTGATGTCGATACTGAAGTACTCGAAAAAGGAAGGCAGCCCAATCACGGCGCCGATGATCGCGGAGTTGTACCCATAAGTTAGCGACCCAAAGGTAACGAAGAAAACAACTAGAAAGTTGTAATTATTGACGATGGCCATATTGGACGATTTGAGTCCTTGAAGGTGCAATGCCAGTTTTCCGAAGATGGGTGATTCGACGAGGAGCTCTCCTTTATGCCAGAACTAGCCAGCCCATGATTGAGCTCGTGGGAAAAGTGGCGCTTGTCTTCCTACCCCAAACATGACAAGAGGCTCGCAGGAGTTGTCGGTGCTCCGAATAGGCTATGAGAATGTCTATCCCTGATGCCGTTGATACTTGGTACTGTTCACCGCTAAAAATTGGAGAAATGTACTTCGTAGGTGAGAGAAGTCAGGATCAGGGGACTAATGGTGAGATGGTATACTAGGATTCGCTAGCAAGCCTCACGGTTTCCTCATGCGTGATTCATTTCCCCACAGCCTCGAAGCAATCCCTGTGAAATTCCCCGAATCTGGGGCCAACTAGCGTTGGGGGAAGGTAGCGTCTAGCTTCTTGGGATTGTGAGGAGAGGGTCATCGTGGCTGGGTCACACTTGCTATTGGGACAGCTAGGTTTTGGTATCTGACCGATGAGAATGAAGCAACTGTGAGTAATGAGGAATGACTTCATATTTCAAGTTGGTGGTTTGAAGGTCGATGAGGGCGGAAGGCAAATGCCACTGAATGACTTTGGAGGTGAGGCTGGCGCCGAGGCCGTTGGGAACAACTGGACTTTGTCTCAAACAGTGTTGGTCGGTAATTAGAGTGGCATCCTATCCTGGAGGGTAAGCATTGGGGAAGTGATGAAAACACTACACTGACTTACAGAACGATACTTGTTGGGGAAGGATGAGCTTTGTTCCTATCACGTCGCTAAGTACGAGGGTGCCTAGGTAGTATGAGAGTCATTGTTCTTTCTAAATGCCAACAGGTACAACGTAAAAAGCATAGGCTAAGCTCAGCCGCCAAAACTCAAAAGCAACTCCTTGATGACTTACGTAAATTCAGGGCAGCCAACCTAAATACTTGCTCACTGTAATTCTACTCCGTTGTTCCGAATATGTAACTTACTTCCAAAGTCCAATGAAATACTAAGTACTAATCACCGACTCACTCGCCCCTTGATAGTATCCAAGGACGGCTGCGTTCTGGTCGGACCTTTCCTTAGCCGCCTGGGATTGAACCGCCTGAACAAGGTTTGACAAGCGTCTTGGAGTCAAAACCAAATCAGAGGGTCCTTCCTGAGAGAGTATTGGGACGTAGAATCCATGGTCCATCGCCCGTGCTTATGACCTCGCGTAACCCTACCGGGAAGATCTTTTTTGCATCGTGGATTAGGCTTCGTCAGTAGCAATAACCTGGTTGTCATGATTGATAGCAAGTTTGTGAGCCTTGAGAGAGAACCTGACAGGATTTGGCGCCTCGAAGATTTTGTCGAGTTCCTCCAACTAGAGACCGATCAGGACAGCTCACACCAGACGCCCAGGGAAAAATGTGCAACACTCACCGTTCTCTTTCGAGTCTCTGGAAGAAAGAAGTACCAAACAACCGTCTGAATCCCACACCAGATAATGAACACAATGTAGGTCTTCCAACCAATATCGTCCAGGGCCACGGGCCACGCAAACTGATTCAACATACCACCAGCGTTCACTGCCAGACTGGAAAATGCCATCCCCTTGGCTCTCATTTCGAATGATAAGACTTCAACTGGATAAAGCGCTTGCAATGGCGTAATGCCGAAAGAGTAGACCGCTCCAAACAGGAAAATGAACGCAACTGTCGATCTGGCAGCGTCGTCGTTCGTCTTTCCCGAGCCTGCGAATATTCCAGTGGACGCTGTAACTGCGATCCAGACTACACAGCAACCGGCCATGGAAAAAAGCATCAGTGGCCGGCGCCCAATGCGGTCAACAAATCGAGCACCCAGGAGCGCAAAGAAAAACTGGAAGCCCGCATAGCCCAGTAAGATATTGGCCTGTGTGATGCTTTCTGTGTAACCGGCGGTATCCAACACAGCTGGGAGGAAATAACTCAGGGGGCCGTTTCCTATGGATGTCTTTAGTTAGGGTGGCTGGAATGCACCAACCAAACTCGACATGCTCTTACCTGCCCATTGTGCAAAGATGGAGAAGCAGCAATTACATGCTAGCCGATAGACACTTGATCGTTTGTTGAACAATGCACGGTAATCCCACCAGCGTTTGTCCTGCCATATTCAGTTGACAAGCGGAAAAAGACACAAACAAACAGGACGACTCACACCGCCGTCCAGATTCAAGAATTCCTCATACTCATCTAGTTGCAACTTCACCCAAGGATTGTCACGATTTCCGTATCCATGCCATTTGGTTAGCATGTTAACCGCACTCTCTCTTTTGTTATTGACATATAGCCACCGTGGAGACTCGGGAATGAGGAAACAGAACATGCAAATCAAACCGGGGAACAGGAGTTGGAGCCAAACGGGCAGTTGCCACGAGATATTCCCACTCAAATTAAGCCCGCCTCGAATGGCCCCACTCGAAAGGATGGAGCCGGTGAACCAAAAGGTGTTACAGTATGCGGTTGCAATGCCTCGAAAGGCTGGGTGTGTTGTCTCCACGACATAGATCGGCCCAGCAGCCGAGGCGATGGAAACACCAAAGCCAAGCAGGAAACGACCACCCATGAACTGATGAACGCTGGCGTTGTGGATAGTAGTGCCCGTGATGACAGCACCAAGGATGATCAGAATACTGCCGATGAACATACCAGCCCTTCGGCCCCAGGTGTCTATCGCTGGTCCTACAAAGGGAAGTGCACAGACCCCTCCAATCTGATACATCGACGAGATAAGGCCAGCCCATAAACCCTTGTTTGCGCCATCGAAGAATTCGAGAAACGTCTTGTTCGCAGTCAAGCCTCCAAAGAGCGATCCATCAAACCCATTCATGGTCTGACAGAAGAAACCAAGCAACACACACAGCAGGAGCCGGAGTGATGTCGGGTGTAATATGGGAGGTTTCTCGGCAATGAGTGCCTCGTTATAGGCCTCACTACCTTTGACCACTCTGACCTCTGCCACATCGAGCTGTCAAGGGCTTATTAGCGCCACAGCATGTGACATAGAGGAGTAGAAGATACCTTGCGGCTGTCAATAGCCGACATGGGCTCGACGGTCTCTGTGATTGGTTTTTCGAACGACATCTTGAGAAGAGTCTCTGTATGAAGGTCTCCTCGTTGACAAGACCTGTGTCAACGCTCTTTTCATGCTTTTATACCATGCAATATAGAAAGTGGAGGGAAAGGGAAAGGAAGTCAAAGTTCCGTGCTCAAAATAGTCAAGGGGACTGTCCCAAAGCGCTGAGGACCATGCTTCATTACGTGACTCAAGACACAAAAGATTCATGACTGGGGCTGTCGTTCAAGGTGGGGGCCCTTCTTGGGAAGAAACTCCTGGTTTGACGATGGGTGGGAACAGGGTTAGGGTACAAGTGGAGACGATAACACGGCGTAATGCTGCAAAGATTGGCGACTAGTATATGACGGGCATGTGGGGGGCATAAGTGGCCAGACAGTGTTTCTGAGCATCGAAGGTACCACATGGATAGACATATCAGGAGTTTTCCACACCGGAGTCTCACAGCACAAGGCTCATTATCGGCAGCAAGCGTGCCGCATGCCCCATTGATTGCTTGCTTCAACACGCCAGATTCATTCGTATTGGCCTCATGACATGGATCTCGTACTTTGACTTGACCTAAAGTCGAGCATCTTCTTTGTTGACTGTTAGGCTTGCGAGACAGGTAGTTGGAGGTCAAAGATATTCAATCTCAACACGGAGCTAGTGCTTTTTTCAGCACGGGAGAATGAAAGCGCCGCTCCCAAAGAGGAATCTGATAGACTCTCCATGTTCTTTGCATTTCCAATTTGTGGCAGTTCATGCTTTGAGGAACGGGGTATTAGCTCTTAGTTCAAGCTCAAAGCTTACCTTTGTACCAATCATTCTAAGAAGATTGCAGGATCCTTCAATGTGGAGGTGTTTGGATCGGGTTCCACAAGGAGCTCGCAATTGAGGAGACGTGGGAGCGGTAAGGAGCATTCAGAGACGACTGCCGACTGTGACATGTTCGGGCGTTCCCCCAGACCCTGAGAAAGGTGCTGAAGAATCTGAGAAAAGCGCATGTGGCAGGCAGGATCAGCTTTTGTGTTCTGACAGCACGAGAAACACCAAATAGCTTGAAGGACGTGACCTTGTCAGAAAAATAGCTGATTGTTCTAACTACTCTGGAATAATGGCTCGCCTGGCATGATGCTTAACAATGGAGCATAAAAAGATATGAGGCTTGGGGCGTCACCAAGAGTCGTCTCTGTTGTATAAGTGTGAGACATACTCACGCTTCAAACCTCGGGGTATACGTCTGTCCGCCGAATGAGAGGTATCATTCGCCTCACGTCTCGTAAGGCTTGCAAGTCAATGTCGACAGTGAGGAGGTCGGGTTGACGGGATCCTTCCTTCTCAGTCTCAATATCAAGCACACGATCCAATCTGCCGGTAACCTCGCCATTTGGCGATATTGCGATGGTATCGCCATAACTAACACGTTTCTCGTTGTGACGACCACATTGAGCAGCGGCAATAACCCAGCTTTGCGTCTCAATGGCCCGAGCTCGTAGTAAGATCTCCCAGTGCAATTTGCCCGTGGGAACAGTAAAGGCTGAGGGATATGTAATGATTTCTGCGCCCAGCCGGCGTAGCCTCAAAGCTGGCTCAGGAAAGCGTAAATCGAAGCAAATCAGACTGCCAACGTCGCCTAGTGGTGTCTGGTAGGGTGGGACAATCTCACGACCAGGCTCCGTAGAGTCGCTCTCTTTCAACTTGGGTCCATTGGGCCGCAGGTCTATATCAAATACATGAAGCTTCTGGTATCGATGCACGATGTCCCCCCTTTGATTGATCCATATCAGGGTATTCTTTATTCTATCAGAGGGTGGATCGGTGGGTTCGTGTATTCCAACATTGATCGCAAGAGAATTGTCCTTTGCGGCCTCTTGTAAGCCGTGGACGAATGGACTTTTCGACGCATGTTGACATAAGCCTATGGATTCGGATGGGGATGAAGCAATGTAGTCGGAGGCTTCAGGGAGGAAGAGGGCCTAGATGTCGTTCTTCTGCGTGAGGAACTGAATTAATGCCGAGTACGAGGAACCTCGACAGCGGCAATTGGACTGAATCAAAGCGAGCCTACCTTTGCACCGGCCATCACAGCCTTTCGCACAAGTGTCTGACATTGTGCAAGGTTGTGGCTCATCGAGGCCGTTGAGCAGATCTGGCCCACAGCCTACATCAATAATCTTAGCCATGGTGTGAAGCCATATGAGCCAACTTGGTGGTGGCATACAGCGAGAACCATTGTGCTAAGCGACGCGTCGTGGTTTCGGTTGCAGTCGAGTCGATCAATGAAGATCTGATACACAGTCCCAGACTTTTGCTATTTTTGAAGTCCCGGTCATCCGACTGGTCCAAGGGCGAGACGCGGGGCGGGGAGGAGTGGTGTTGTGTTGACTCTCGAGTCTCGAGCCTCGACTGAGTGCAGACGATTCGATACAGTGAGGGGTGGAAGGAAGGTTCGGCCGACCTTCCCCAAACAAGATCTTGGCATGTTGCTTCTGTGGCCACGCTCGCGTTTGATGCCAGGGATGCTGCACGTCTATTGATAACCTGCGAAGAATTACTCATTCACCCTTGCATAAACCTCGGTTCAAAACAACCCACCACGGACCTCCTCCGCGTGTGGGTACGGAGACTTGTAACGTGAAATGCGAGGCGGGCACACGTAACTCCTCCTCCAGTCTGTGGTCGCCTTGCATGATGACGATTGGCGTCTCAGTTGATAGCAACTCCCTCGACTCGACCCCACCCCGCCTTATCATGTTTCGTCCAGTCCTGTTACAGTTTGATGACATGGAATTGCGGGGAAGCTATGTTAAACCGGGGGCCATCTGGTATGAGCAGACTGCCCTGGAATGTTGCCAGTCCAGTATCGGCTCCGCGCAGTGTCGGTTAGATGGGTACCCAAGAGCTAAGTATTAAACCAGTCGCTGGCCGTGGATAGTTCATGTCTTCGCTCTTAGAACTGTGACCACTACTCAGTAGACATACTATCAGCACAGACCAAATCCATCTCTTGACTTCAATATGGCCACCGTGGACATCCCCAAACAGCAAAAAGCCGCCGTGAAGGTCGGCGAGGGTACTGATGCCAAAGCTCCTGTGCAGCAAGTCGATGTTCAATCTCCTGGCCCTACCGAGGTTTTGGTCAAGATCAATTGGCAGGTCGCTACTATCCCTTTATACTTGATCCACATCTAACAGATGCAAGGACTGGTCTCTGTGCTTCAGACAAATCTCTGATTCATGATGAATGGGCATCATTCGGAGTTGCCATGCAGCCCGCCACCAAGGGAATTGCCGGCCACGAGGGCGCTGGCGTTGTCGTCGCCGTAGGTGATGATATGCATCATAAATGGAAAGTTGGGGACCGTGCTGGAATCAAATGGGTGTGGGGGGTCTGCGGAGAGTGCGAGTTTTGCACAAACGGTAGCGACGAGCTCCACTGCCCGAACCAGAAGAACTCAGGTTTCACTGCTGCAGGAACTTTCCAGCAGTATGCTATCAGCGATGGCAGATACACTACCCGCATCCCCGAGGGTGTTGCTGATGAGGAAGCTGGACCTATCATGTGCGGTGGTGTAACAGCATATGTCGCTTGCAAGAGGAGTGCTGTCAAACCTGGCCAATGGATTGTATGTTGCTGATAAGTACTACGAGAGATGCCAACCACTGACTCCATAACTAGGTTCTCCCAGGTGCTGGAGGCGGGCTCGGCCATTTTGCTGTACAGTATGCAAAGGCCATGGTAAGTTCATGAAACAATCTCTGGTCACCACTAACAACTTCAAGGGCATGCGGATTATCGCCATAGATGGCGGTGACGAGAAACGAGACCTCTGCAAGAAATTAGGAGCAGAGGAGTTTATCGACTTCACCAAAACTCAAGACATTGCATCCGAAATCACGCGTATCACGACATATGGTGCCCATGGAGTCATTGTCACCGCGGCCACAAAAGAAGCTTATGCCAGTGCACCAACATTCCTCAGACCTGGTGGTACCGTTGTTGCGGTCGGTCTGCCAAAAGACCCTACTGTTCTTGCAGGCGCACCGCCGATTATGTTGTGCCTGAAGAAGTTAAACATTGTGGGCAGCGTCGTCGGTACATTGAAGGATGTAGAAGAAGCTCTTGACTTCACAGCACGGGGTCTAGTGCATGTAAGTTCATGAAACCTTTCCAGGCCCTTCAAATTCAGATACTGACTATGAAACAGCCCATCTTGACAAAGGGAACAATTGAAGATGTGGATAAGTATATGGATCTGATGATTGCCGGTAAGCTCGCAGGTAGAGCTGTACTAAAGGTGTCATAAGTGCTTGATATCAAGAATAGAACATGAAATCCTGACAACTATGATTCAACGATCGACATTACAATATGTGACGTTTCTTTGACTCCGCCAATCTCGCATATACCTCGCCTTTCAGACCGTCCTTAGGGTGAATATTCGCTTGCAGCTGCCAGTGGTGGTCTACGGTTTCAACTACCCCTGCCGACACGACATGACCTCAGTTACTCTGGTTTGAGATGACGAGTCGGCTAATGCTTCCTCCAAACTTCTGACTTGAGATGGCATGACACAACAGGCTCAGTAGCCAGCTCCTTCCAACTTCCCCACTTCTACCCTCTTCAGGCACGGAAGACCTTGAGCGGTGCGCCAAATCACCCAGCCACCCAGTCGATACAAACAGCATAGGCACGTGCCGAGCCATGAGTTTCATTTTGATTGCAGCAACTGATTTTGATCCCGCTGCATTTCGTTTGGAACTAACGAACAGTCATGAGCACCATTCACACATAAGACCGATCACTTCGTTCAGTTTTGCGAGTATGACAGCGAGATGGCTATACGCCGATCAACTAGCAGCATTGACTAGTGAGCGATAAATTGTCACTATCCAAGGATCCGTGTTGCCAGTACAGCTACGCCGAGAAAACGAGTGTAGAACTCTTCACTTAACTCGTCTTCACCCCTTCTTCGAAGAAATGGATGAGATGGTATCATCACCGGTTGACTTCTGAGTCTTGAAAATAAGGAAGGTACGAATGGTGGTAAGAACTCCTATCGACCTTACCTAGGTAGTTACTTACGCGCGCCGAAAGAATAAACCAAACGGCTTCGGAAGACCGACTACGTGGATCTCTTGCCACGTTATTCTCACTTTTAACATTCGCTAATTCAACGAATAGCGTCAAAAAGGAGCTGAAAAGTAGTATCGAGGTACTGAAGACTACTTGAATGGGTATTATGCTCCAGACCCTGGTTGTTCTTCAAAGAGTCTGTTAATAGTGAACAGTCAGACGCTCCTTAACTGTGCAGCCTTGTGTGATGATCGTTTGGCTCTCGTCACAGGGAGGACAAAAGAAGTGGACATATCTTTTTCTCGAATCCGAGAAACTGCTAGAAGAAACTCCGGGAATCGGACATGTGCAATCAGAAGAATAGTGCTTCTCGGGTAGTGTTGGCGTCCTAGGTATCGCTATGCAATTCACTGATACGATGGTGTCGCCAACATGATGCTGGACGATGATTTTGGATTCAATCTGGTAGATGAATGAATTGCAGCCTCGAGACAAGGCTGAAGGCCAACAAGCACGCAAATGCGACTGAATTGATCCGTCCATGTCATTTCGTCTCCATTGTTCAACCCCCTGAAGACCAGGACCTGTCATCTACAAAACGCACAATACCCCTGTCGACGAAACTCTACTCAATCGAGCAGGATGGAGATGCGCAACATCTGCAAACCGCTTGGATTTCACGCCCATGTCGTTGTGCAACAACTTCAACGATAAATCGGAATCACCTGGCCCGCACACCGTGTCGTCGCTCTGCAAGAAACAAACAGGAGCTATTGAAAGATCCAAAGACCATAAATATGCCGTATGGCTCTCAATCTTCAAGTCTCCTGTTCCACCACCTCCAAAACAAGTATAAATCACACGGTATCTGGAAAGCCTAGTCCGGACTCAAGATCCCCTTGATAAGAGAAGACTGTCGCGCCGTCTTTGTGAAAGCCACCCCACCACACCGGATCGCCAGTCGGAAATATCCCCTTCGCTGCTCCCAGCTGAACACCACCCTTCCGAGAACTGTACCGGCCACATGAGCGACCGCAATGGCAGAGACCTCGATTATGGGAGCAGGACGTTTCATTCTTCCTCGACCGGGTCGAACTATGCTCTATTCAGCCCCGCCCGCACCACCACCTACACCACCCCGTACACCACCACAAACAACTCGTCCAGCACCGCCGCCCTCTTAGCGCGGGCCCGAGCCGAGATGGACGACGACAGAGGCTCGAGATCGAGATCGCTAGTGGGCTCCTGGGCGTTCTCCCCGACCCGCGGGTCGTCAGACCTGTACAGGGAACGTAACGAGGGCGTGTACCATTCGAACTCATCGGCCCTGTCGCATCGCTCCACGTCCTCGGAGCGCCGCCGCCGCTACCACGAAGACATGGAGATGGACCAGTTCGCCGACAGCCGCCTGCGCGACTGGCTCGACAGCGGGACTGGCACTTTACGGCGCGCCAGATCCTTCGATCGCGGACGTCCGACGACGACGGCCACTCGTCCATATTCACCCTCGCTCTCGCCTTCGCGCTCTCGACAACGTTCTCCTCTTCTGTCACGTTTTCGCTCCCCTTCCCGAATACGTTCTCCTCTTCTTTCGCCCTTCCGCTCTCGCTCTCGCTCCGATGTTCGCGCATCGGCTCCATTATCGACCGTGGCCACACCCACTCCCAGAGCGACTATGCACGGGATGACCCGTATAGCTGGAGGCGCAGGAGCTCGAGTGGGGATCGCCGTCTGCATGACGACAGGTCATATAGCGATGGCTTCGTATGGCGACGTCCCTGGTGAGCGTGGGTGGGCGAGATATTCCTAGTTGAGTGGTTGGTAGGTAGGGTGGTACTGGTAATGGCGCTGGACATGTGGCATGGCTCAGGTGACGACGGTTGGTGCTGTCTTGCCGTTGGTAGACACAGCAACAAATTTGGTAGCAGATGGGCAACGGCGACGTGACCGTATCAACAACGTGGATGGCTTACGACTTATGAGCTATGACTTGACCTTCGATGACTAGATTATTATACGATACCCACTACGATTAGCAATTCCCATAATTTCAAAACAACATCTTGATCAAGAAAATGGTTCTCGGTTCATATGATAGTCCAGGCACACTTTCTAAATCTCACGACAGTAACTTAGGGAGCAACTTCAACGTAGCCGCCCCTGATATTCCACAGATGCCCCTGTCTTTCACCAAGAGAAAGTCATCAGAGCCGGGTTCAGCGCAATCGGCAATAGCAAATGGCTCGTGGTGACCGTACTCATCGGCAAGATGGCGATGAAGTCCTTAATCAACCAATCGTCAGGCACAAGCCCACCAGGGTTAGTCGCCAGCACGACCATCGCAACAGTGCCAATCAGCGCAAACGCGATACTGAACTTGAACTTGCGAATGACTTTCGGCACCTCGATGAAGAAATTGCTGAACTCAGCCTCCTTGCTCGTGGCGCCCCATGTCATGTCGACTTCGAACATGTGCGCGAGAAGAGCTTGGGAGACGTGCAGAGACAAGCCACCCAGGAAGATGGAGAGTAGGAAGATCCATTTGAGGTTCTCAATGAGGGCCGCGAAGAAGGATTTCTGGCCGATGCGGTAACGCATTAGCGCCAGGGCGATGTTGCCGAGGCCGTTGAAGACTATGACGATGCTGAACCACACTTTCCAGCTGTCGATGTAGTATTTATCCAAGTATCCGTTGAACCACCCGATGGCGAAGTAGTTTGCCAGTGTCATGATCCATGCTGCACCGATAGCATAGTAGGTGCCTATATAGCTGATAATGGTGATTTTGGACGTGAAACGGATGTTTGAGAAAAGAAATCGACGAAAGAGTGGAGTGAAAGGACCCCTGTAGATCCATTTGCGCATTGGGTGGAAAAGAAGCTCATTGCAGCCGTAGGCATATTTTTCCCAGCGTGCGAGTTCGTCGTAGACTGTGAGGCTGACACCTTCTTTGAATTCACCATGAGCCCAAGAGGCTAGTCTGATGATATAGCCATCGCACTGCAATCTTAGAGACATATCAAAGTCCTCACTGACATGAGACTCGGACCAGAACTTCTCGTAGCCATCCTCATCGGTGTAGGAGACTTGCTGAATGGCACTCCACCGGAGAATGGCATTGTGACCAACAAACGGAGCAACATCTCCGTTGGCCACAGTATATTCGATTGCAGTGTAGATGAGGTTGGTGAAGAAAGTGATACCATTCTCAAAGAAGGTGTGGACCACCTGCATCACTCCTGATGCGAATTGCATGATTCCCACATCGGGCGACACCTCCATCTCGCTGACAGCATCAAGAAGACAATCAATGGGAACTCGTGTATCACTGTCAATCAGTAAGATGTAATCTCCAACACGTATGTTCCCATCTGCCCAAGCTCGTGGATTTTCTGCCAAGACCTCCTTTAAGGAGGCTTCGTACGAAGCTGACTCGTCAACTTCGGACCAAGAAGGCGCTCTTTGGTAGGCCCGAAGTTTCTCTTCGACCTGACAAGAAAGCATAAGTCCATAGTTCATATTGGATGCCTTCTTGAACTTTCCTCGACGTACGAAACCGTCGCTTCCATGCTTGGGTCTTGCGGTCCAGCCAATGTTATGATCTTGATAGAACTCAATGCGAGCTTTACGTTCTTCTTCCCCAATGATCTGAAGTCCATCATCATTAACAAACATGTTTGCTGAACCGCCTTGAAGCTCATATGTTGAAATTGCTTGTTTGATCGAGGTCACAGTAGGTGCGATGACAGAAGACAAGCCTTCCTTGTAGACAGGGCATTGGATTGTGACATGCGGTAAATCTGAGTTGAGGCGTGGCGAGCATTTTGCTGAGTAGTATTTTGAGTTGAGCTGCATCTGACGAACTGGCCCAACACATTGAGCGATACAGCCAACGATGACTTGTGCAAAAAACTGCAAAGCTCAGTCTGAGTTCCGAGTCCGAAGATGATGAGCGTGCTTACCAAGGTGAAGAAGATTTGCACTGGCACGAGAGACAAGAATGCCAGACGAGCATATGCCCCGTCAACAGCAATTTCTGTTGCCAAACTCCGGCAAGCCAATCCGAGCAGGACCACGACGATCACCAAAGTGCAAGCGACAAGATTCGTATTCATAAGATTTGTAGATCGGTGCTCGATCATGGTCTCCAATGATCCCTTATCAACACCATCTTCGGACTGACCGACTTTCTCCATGGGAGTATCGTCATCGTTGTTGATTTTCTCTGTTTGCCAAACAAGTTGCATGAGCTCTGCTTCAATCTTCGCTGCTCTTTCGATCACGTTACTTGGATCATCGTCCCACACAACCAGTAGAGATTCCGAAGTGATGAAAGCAGCAAATTGGTATTTCCGTGCTTGAGAAAGATCATTTATGTTGGAGAGAATCTGGACTCGAAGTCCATTCATTAAAGGGACATCCCTTGCTTCTGGGGCCCAAGCAAGGAAGGTCTTGATAACTCTTGAATTCACCGTGACGACGACCTGACATGGATTAGCTGCCTGAAGCGATCGAAATGGACGTATTTCTTACTGGAACATTTAGTTGGGTACACGTTCGAGCTAGAGTCGAATGCAAAAGGGGGGGTGGACATGCTAGGTATTGACCTCGGGATTTCCGCAATAGCACACCCTCACACTCTCCACTGCTATCGCTCACCCAAAGATGTGAACACTGTTGCTGATAAATGTGATTGACCATGATCTCGTGTTTGATGTCATCGAGGAGTACACTTCGACTGCTGCGGGTAGACTTGCCACTCGCTGAGCGACGTCTGCTCATGAAGGAGGAAAAGTCCGAGGTGTTTGAGCTATCTTGAAAAGGATCATGGTGATCCACGAACGGATTTGATGTGGCCCTCCTAATATCTCCCAGCGGGGGAAGCTTTCGTAGAGCAGTGGATTCCGCAGGGCGAGGAACAGCTGATTGACTGTCCATGGTCCAATGCCTTGTAAGCAGCAGGAGCCTGAGATAGTCCAGCAGAGGATAGCGTAAACCAACGTGAGGTGGTTGACCGGTTATGATGGAGAGAAAAACGTCTTCTAGTGGATGTCTGAGCTAAAAATAGGTCGTCTTGTGGTGAAAGTCGTGTGCAGCTCTACCAGCGCTATAAGCGGATGAAGAGTGGTCGTAACAGGAATACAAAAGTGCAGGCTTTCCTAATCCCCAGATCGCAAGATCAAGGAAGGTGTAATGAATGGTGGTGGCGAATTTGGTAGAACCACGAGAAGAACGAAGTGGCCATGATTGTCGTACCGTCTATGGAAAAGACCAATATCGTAGTGATCACCATAGGGCTGTACAAGGCTATCTTCCTCAAAGGATTAATTAAGAGGTTGCAATATTCAATTTGCCACGGTGTGATCCATTTTCAATCCAGTTGTGGTGGCAGCTTCCAATGACCGACGAAGCTCCAGGTTTCACAGCTCTCGAAAGTGGAGTAGGCCGATTGCAAATTCACCAACAACGTAACTTGAGATTTTGCTGTTCTCGATTGTACATGGGAGCGAGAAACTGGACTGTCTTGGTTGGGTGCCTTGATTGAAAGCGCTGGAAGGAGGGGGCATCATTTTCGAGCCTGTTATGCTGGATGATTCGAGTTAACATACTGTGGCACTAATGACGATATGGGATATATCGTTTACAGCGTGTTGAGAACTTCGAGCAGTCAGCCAACAGACGTTGACAATCAAGATTGGAAACCAGGAGGTAGGTGATTAGACATTGTTTAAGAAAATATCTACTCCAAGTAGATGGAAATGAGCTGTGGCTATTCCCACAGTCGAGGTAGCGGTGTGTGGTAGGCCAGCAGAGAGCAGATATAGCTTGTATAATTGAAACGTGATCCAACTATTGGAACCGTGCGACATAGGTTGTCCGAAGAGGCAAGTAGAGTTCTACCTTGGTGTAATCCTTCATGAGAATTTGTGCTCGACCAGGAGCCGGTCTCAGCCTCACACTGTTGCGGAGTCATGCTTTCCCTGAGAAGTTTTGGACGAATGCAATCTGAGTTCGGCCAGGCACAAGAAAACTCGGAACTCCTGGCCTCTAAATAATGTCAGTTCTCTTCCACCTGTTCTCACCATCTCATCTGAGAGTTTTGATGGTACAATCCCTTCAGATCTAACAGTTGCAAACCCTATTGGAGACAGACATCACACCCACCATGACCGCTCAACGACCCAATAATTCAGGTCCTAAAGATTTGTCTTTGAGCATTGACGCTACACCTCGAGGGGCCACTCCGGAGTCATTGATCACAGGTGGCGAACAAAATCGAGAGAAATTAGTCAACCCATTCTTGACACCATATGCTTCACAACAGCCTTCAAGGACGGCGTCCTCTGCAGCTCTGGGTCAGCCTGTGGTCAAACAACGATACTTTCATTCCAGGCGTGTGAAGAAGGGTGAAATTGGACGACCGTGGACCAAAGTCAAGGATCCCAGGGAGAAATGGGTGACAATCATACCTATCATTGGACTCCTTATTGGGTTTGGAATTGCTGGTTTCCTTGTCTGGGATGGCCTTCGTACTGTCGTCAACCACAAATACTGCCCTGTACACTTCGACGATTTCTCGAATGGGCTCGACTTGAACATCTGGACAAAGGAGGCGGAGGTTGGAGGGTTCGGCAATGGTCAATTTGAACAAACAACCGTGACTGATGAGAATGTTTTTGTCAAAGACGGAATGCTCCGTATCAAGCCAACTCTTCAAGATCCTGCATTGATTGATTCAAACAGTGTCATTGACCTGACTGCAGCAGGAATCTGCTCATCGTCGTTGTGGAGCAATTGTGTTACGAGCACAAACGTGACCAATGGGACTATTGTGAATCCTGTCAAGTCTGGTCGTATCAACACGAAGAAAGGAGCGAAAATCAAATATGGTCGCATCGAAATCGAGGCCAAATTGTCTGAGGGAGACTGGCTGTGGCCCGCAATCTGGCTCTTACCTGTCGACTCGAAATACGGCCAATGGCCACAGTCGGGTGAAATTGATATTGTTGAGTCTCGAGGAAACAACTACACTTACCCTTCTGGAGGTAACAACATTGTCTCGAGTGCATTGCATTGGGGACCCAATGCCGCCAATGATGCGTGGTGGCGAACAAATGTGAAGAGAAAAGCACTGCATACCACATATGCCAAAAAGTTCCACATATTTGGTCTCGAATGGTCTGAAAAGTACATCTTCACCTACATTGACACCAGACTTTTGCAAGTTCTGTACACCAACTTCAAGGAGCCACTCTGGGAGCGTGGGAGCTTTCCATTATCTGACTACAATGGAACTCGACTGTTTGATCCTTGGTCGCAGACTGGTAATGCCGCCACGCCATTCGACCAAGACTTCTATCTGATATTGAATGTCGCCGTTGGGGGAACAAACGGTTGGTTTTCAGATGGTAAGAAAGGCAAACCATGGGTTGATGGAAGTCCAACGGCCAAGAAAGACTTCTGGAAAGCTCAAGACACATGGCTACCCACATGGAAGGACGGTGGTGAGATGGTAATCAAGAGCGTCAAGATATGGCAGCAACAAGGATACAATGGATGTGATAAAGGACATGTTCTCTGACGAGTTGGTCGAAAATGAATGGGACGCGTCTCAACATGTAAAGGGCTCGCGTGTTGACGCGTTCTGTGACGTAATGCGGACGGATTCGGAAATACGCACCCGACAGCCATCGAACCACACACCAGTTGCTGTACGAGTATCTGCTTGCCTAGGTAGTGAGGATGGTGTTTTTTCAATCATTGTAATTAGCTCGGAGGAATGGAGCAACTCATAATTGGGGGTGTACTATCATACATCAAGCCTCGCATGGCGTACACTGGAGAAGTTACCACATGCGAATAGAAAGGACTATTTAGCTAGCTGCATATATTCGGAAGGGGTCGCGAATTGAAATACATCCGTAGCGATCTCGGGCCGAAATTCAAAAAATTCGACGTGCGTCATGGGAATAGCTGTGCAGCAGGTCAGCAGTAAACATCAATGAGTACGGTCGGGCCCTGAATGAAAGAAACGTGTTGGAATTCGTCATACTAGCGCTTCCAACAGAAACGCCGTACATGGCTACTCAGGTATCAATGCTTTTCCACCATTGCGGAAGACTTGCAGATCTATGTACAACAGGCTCTTGGCCGACTTTCTCTACTTTTACACCAGTTTCAAGAGGCCTTCAAGGTTGATGCTCTTGGGTCTCTCAATTGGCATGCCCAGGGCACGATCCCAGATCAATTGAGCAAGAGGACCAAGACCTCTGCTGACGCCGAAGGTGACAGTGTAGTACAGGGGGTCACGGAAGCCGTAGTGATGAAATAGAACACCTGAGGCACTATCGACATTGGGGTGAGGGTTCTTGGTCTTTCCATGTTCAGTCAAGACACCTGGGGCGATTTCACTGTTCTTCTTGACTAGGCGATAGACAGGATTGTTGGCAATATCTGGACGAGCATCGCCGAAATCGATCAGGGCCTTGAAGCGTGGATCAGGCTTGCGCAGCACACCATGACCGTAGCCAGGGACCACTTGGCCGGATTTCAAAGTAGACCAGAGATAGTCACTGACATCCTTGTCAGAGAAGTTTTCTCCAATTTGAGATTGCATCTTCAGGATCCACCGGAGGACTTCCTGGGCAGCAAGACCGTGGAGAGGTCCAGCCAAACCAAGGAGACCAGCTGAGTAAGACAAGTAGGGGTCGGAGAGGGCAGAGCCGACCAGGTGAGTGGCATGGGCTGAAACGTTGCCACCTTCGTGGTCGCCATGGAGAGCCAGGTAGAGACGGAGTAAATCTTGGAAACCCTCGTTTTCCTTTCCAGGCTTACCCAAGAGGTGAGCAAAGTTGTAGGCCCAGTCCTGATCTTTGTCAATCTCGATATCTAGGGCAGCCTTGTCAAAGATGGCAGCGGCAACACGAGGCAGCTTGGCCAAGAGATTGACAGAATCATCAAAGGTGGGCTCCCAATATTCAGCCTTGTTGAGACCCTCGGCATACTTGGTTGCAAACTTGGACTCGGTGTTCAAGGCGGCCACGGCAATAGCCAATTGGGTCATGGGATGAACATTCTTGTCCATGCCTCGTAGGATGCTGACAACATGAGCAGGCAAGTCGGACTTCTCAGCAAGCTCACGAGAGAAGGCTCGAACCTGATTTGTGGAAGGGACTTGACCGGTCAAAAGGAGCCAGAACATGGACTCTGGTAGCATCTCAGTGCCAGAAGTACCCTTGGGAAGCTCTTGCTGGCAATCGGCGATTGTTCGGCCATGGAAACGGATACCCTCGTTGGCATCGAGAACAGAGCCTTCCCAGACCATTGACTTCATGGTTCTCATTCCACCGATGACCTGACCAACTGTGATATCGCCAATCTTTTTGTCTGCATGAGCCTTGACCTGCTTCAACAGCTTACGCTTCTCTGGGATGACCGATTGAAGGGTGGCCTTGAGATCAGGCTCCGCAGCCGAAGCATAGGTACGGTAGACAAATGAAGCATATGGCCGGGTGGAGGATGTACGTAGAGCTCTCAGAGCGTGCTGGGTGGTTCTTGTAGTGGTAGCCATGTTTGAGCGGTGGTTAGGAGTTGTTAACCACGGCTGTCAGGGTAAATTATATGTTTGCGGGGTAGAATGACCGCCAGTAACACTACCAGCAGCTCGACAGCAATGTGAAGAAGGTGACCAGAGACCGGAGAGGAGAGAGTGACGCAGTAACAGCAGTGGTCAAGTTATTTCTCAGTTGATAGCAAGCAGAAATTTTAGCAACAGCTGAGGATTAATCACAAGCACTGACACTACCGGGCATGCAGGAACAACGAACGTTGGACCGTGGTTGCCCTTGCCCTTGCCCTGGAGTTGGAGATTCCTCGGGCAATGTGTGGGAGAGAGCCAGGGGAGCTTAGGGAGTGCCCCGAACCACCAGTAACGACCCCAGAAGCGCGCTCAGAACCCCTCCGCCCGCCCATGCCCGCCCACCAAGAAGGCCGAGCACGATGACAAGAGCCTGCCCGGAATAACCGACATCCTCGGCAACTCTCAGCATCCAATGCTGTCACCCAAAGCCCAGTCGGTCCGAAATCGGCTCTCCTTCTGTGCGCGACTTTCTGTCCCTTCCCCAACGTTCATCCACTAAACTCATTCTGGTCGCCAGCTTCACTGTTACTCGCCCTCATGTCATTGCGACGCCATTATTGCTGCTCCCCGCTAAAAATACCAAATATCTGTCTCGCCGTCCAAATACACATAGGGCCAGGGCGTGGACTTGATATTATTCATCCAACGGTAATGTCTTTCTGAGTCGTTTTTTCTATTGACTTCTCCCTTGATCACTGTAATCTTTGCCCCTGTTGTGGCTATTAAAAAGAACCCTTCTGTTACCCGGCAGTTTGGCTTCTTTCCTGTGCCAACCCACACTCGACAACCCCATCAATCATGATCCGACAACTACCAAAAGCTATCCCAAGGCTAACAGCCCGGCACGTCGTGCGATCTCTTCCCTCAAAGCCTCTAGTTGCTGTTATGGCCCGAACCCTTTCCTCTCTACCTTCCGTCGAGCCTCCAGTGTCCGCCACATTACCCACAGATTCCTTCCAACTGCTATCTACCGAGTCAAAAGTTGGGGATGCCGAGGATGTACTTTTCCAACAGCAGGTGGAGGATGTGAAGAAATGGTGGGCATCACCACGATATGAGGGTATCAAAAGACCGTATACTCCCCAAGATGTCGTCAGTAAGAGGGGGACCTTACAACAGACGTACCCCAGCTCTCTCATGGCTCGGAAGCTATTCAACCTTCTCAATGAAAGAGCTGCTGAAGGCAAGCCTGTCCACACTATGGGTGCCATCGACCCTGTACAGATGACTCAACAAGCCCAGAACCAGGAGATTCTATATGTTTCAGGTTGGGCATGTTCTTCCGTCCTGACAAGCACAAATGAAGTTTCCGCCGATTTTGGTGATTACCCATATAATACGGTCCCCAACCAGGTACAGAGATTGTTCAAGGCCCAACAATTACACGACCGCAAGCACTTTGATAACAGGCAGAAACTCAGCCCCGAAGAGAGGCAGAAAACCCCATACATCGATTATCTTCGACCTATTGTTGCTGATGGTGATACTGGCCACGGCGGTCTTTCAGCGGTCATCAAGTTAGCCAAGCTTTTCGCGGAAAATGGCGCGGCTGCCGTGCACTTTGAAGATCAACTGCACGGAGGCAAGAAATGCGGCCATCTTGCTGGTAAAGTTCTGGTCCCTGTGGGAGATCACATCAACCGTCTTGTTGCTGCTAGATTTCAGTGGGATCTCATGGGCTCCGAGAACCTCATTCTTGCTCGAACCGATTCGGAAAGCGGGAAACTTCTCTCGAGCGCGATTGACGTTAGAGATCATGAATTCATTCTCGGTATTGCTGAGGAGACTGAGCCTTTGGCCGAGGTTCTACAAGAAATGGAATTGGACGGTGCGCCTGGACCGGAAATAGATCAATTCGAGTCCACTTGGGTAAAGAAGCACAAGCTGGTCACTTTCGACGAAGCTGTCGAGGCTCATATCAAAGCCGAGGGTGGTGACGCTACTGAGTATCTCGCCAAAACAAAAGCCAACCCAAACACATCCTTGTCGAAACGTCGCATCCTGTCCCATCAGTACACCAAGTCCCCTGTTGTGTGGTCTTGTGATATTCCTCGAACTCGAGAAGGTTTCTACCATTATCGTGCCGGTCTTCCTGCTGCTACCAAGCGAGCCATCGAATTTGCACCCTATGCCGATCTACTATGGCTCGAGACAGCCGATCCAAGTGTCTCAAAGGCTGCTGGTTTCGCCAAAGAAATCCGTGAACAATACCCTGGTAAGAAGCTGGTCTACAATCTAAGCCCATCTTTCAATTGGATGGGTCAAGGCTTTGATGATGCCTCCTTGAAATCTTTTGTCTGGGATCTTGCTAAGGAAGGCTTTGTTCTTCAACTCATCTCCCTTGCTGGTCTTCATTCAACTGCCACAATCAGCGCCGAGTTGTCACGAGGCTTCAAGGAAGATGGCATGCTTGCCTATGTCAATCTGGTGCAAAGTCGCGAGAAGGCGCTTGGTGTTGATGTGCTCACCCACCAGAAGTGGAGTGGTGCCGGGTATATTGATGGCATTATTGGTGCCATCCAAAGTGGCAGCAGCGGAAGCAAGAGTATGGGCGAGGGAAACACCGAGAAAGGCTTCTGATCAACGGATGCCGTTGAGCTGGCCCCACGTGAGCACAGGCCAGATCACAACTCGAACAAAACAAACCCCCAGTTCTCCGGTCCGACGCTTGGAATAACGTGGACTTGTGAGACATCTGAGACTCTAGCGATGCGCCGGGGATTTGGACGCACGTGGTCTTCGAGTCGTCCGTCTCACAGGAGAACAGAGCGCTCGTTCCTTCAATCTCCACGGTTCGAACGGCTTGCATCTGGAGCCACATTCGACATGCACATCTGTCGCATATTTATCTCAGCATCCTGTGGCTGGCGTTCCCCTCCGAAGGGCTAGCAAAGGAGAATATGTACAACATGCTATCGAAGACGACTCATGGAGCTGCAAGATACCCGTTATAAGGTACTCGCTGGAATCAAGACGTAAAAGTAGCGATACATTGCCGAAAAGCATATATCTGCAGTGTTTTGTTATTCACTTAGCATCAGCGTAGAAGGCCATGTACATAGTTATATACCTAGGTATCTAAGAAACCAAACCTGTACGAAGTTCAGGTATCTCATTTCCAAAGCCATATAGCCCACCCGGCCATGACGGACGATAATCCTTACAGTCCGACCGACCTTCAAGATCAGCAAAAGCAAGCTCCCGGCCCCGCAACGGACAGCATGTAGAGCACTTCGAAAAGCTCACAAAAATGTAAGAATGATATGCCAACACATACGATAGGCAAACTCCAAGCACACTATGGCCGTATGAACAGTACGCAGACCATCAAGGCCATCTGACCGCATGATCACGCTGCCCTTGCCCCAGGTAGTCCGTGTGTGCCACTACTCGTGCCTAGAGCTCTGGAGTAGGTAGTAATGACTGGGGGGTGAAACGCGGAACAGGAAAGGAAGCTTTTGACGGCGAAGTCTTTTTGACTTACGACCTTTCCAGGTGCTTGTGCATTGCTGGCGCTGCTGCTGCTGGAGGACGATGGCTGGTGGAAATGTCCTGGTTGGAATATCATACCTGCGGTACGCTGCTGCTGATGAGGCGCACCGGACGCGGGCTCTGGAATTATACCTATTGCGCGTTCGTGGAAAGTGATGCACTCGCCGTGGGCAATAGCTCCCTTTGACTAGCGTGTTGTCTTTGAGTCTTCAATCTATTCCTGCCTCAACTTGATCGATGAGACGCCCATCCGGAGTCAATGCAGACTCATAGGTTAGGTGCAAGTAAGTGCCTTTCCGCGGGCGCGAGGCTGCGGACAGCTATCGAAATAAGGCACACGCATTTCCTTTCCTCAGCCGGCCTGCGAGGCTGGATGACGCGCTCATCTTCTCTCGGGCCTGCAGGTCGGTAAACTAACGAAGCAACGTTAGTGGAGAAAAAGAAGTTTGGATACCGTGCATGTTGTGCATGCAGGGGTTCGTTAACTAGCTAGTTAGTTCTTTCGTCACCCGTGTCTCTTTTTAGGCTTTGCAGCTTGCCCCTTTATTCTCGCAGCCTTGGCCCCATTGCCCGTGCCTCACCGATGGGGTCCATCATAGGTATCTTCTCGGGATTGCTTTTTGTTGTGGGTTGATTTTTGGCTTTGCTCCGTGATTCTCCGAATTTCATGTGCCTTTGACTGTCGATTGGAGTGCTGTTGTCTGTGTAGTCTCGAGTAGTTCCGAGTAGTGTCGTGTACACTTCGTATCACGGCGCCGTTGCGGCCGTTGAGTTCTTGTTGTTCGGAAGCAATGCTCGGCACTTGTCAGTGAGCAAAAAAATTTCGAGTTCGCAAGCCACAGTGGATGAGAAACCAACGGCCAGCCTGCGTCCATATCTTGGGCTAGAGAATTCTTGCGTGCGTCATACATACCTCCATTCACACGCATCCAGCTATCGCTAGCGATAACAATCCTCTCGTGGACAGCAACGTATCGCTGAGTATCCAGAGTGTGCCAATCTTTCCGATTTCTAGACCAGCTGTTGATCCGTCATTGGTAATGCCCAGTTCCACTGCTATCTATCTCTGGATTGGTGATACTCTATCCTAGACTGGCGGTGACCATGCTTTACTGACGACTGTACGAGTATGGTGCAGGTCAAGACTTTGACGTAACTCCTTGTTCGAAAAATGGGGTTTCTCCCGAAGAGTCTCGTGTACGCCTTCCACTAAATTGTGCCATTCAATGATACATCGAAGCTCAGTGACACACTTTCCGTGCCCTTCTTTCCGCAAATGTATAGTCGACGCGATATTGATGTGTGATTCGCATTTTGGGCGCAACCTCTGCGGTCCATGAAAGCGGGTCACAACTGTGTCAATCTCATCGTGAAAGCATAGTTTATACACAGTATCCTCGTATAATGATGTCTATCTCATTCGTTTCTTGGTGTTCTCATTGCTGATACATGGAGAAGCAGAGTATCATTTTGTTTGACATTCAAATCAATCTGCAGGGGAACTTGGTCAAAATCGATCGCCGAGATTCTCAATGGTCGTGTGGCAGTGGTAGGTTTGGGAATAAGACACCAAAGTAGATAATCGATCCGCGTTAATTCTTTTGGAAATGTAATAGTGAAGTTGGAATCATACTTCTGCTCCATTTTCGAGTGCTGGGTCTGCTTTTCCGAAGTCCCAAATCAGTGGATTAGTGATAGTCAATGATGAAGAATAGGAAACAAGAAGCCCAAGCGTTGGCTTATACTTTGTCATCATTGTGCACAATTGAATAGAGCTAATGCATGCGATGAGAGGGTGCTGCTAATGCCGATGAGCTTATAGATCGCCAATCAACCGTCAGTCATCTTGAGAACTACCTTGACGAATGTGTTATAAGTACAGTCCTTGTGGCTATACTTAGTTCATCTTCACACCATGATCAATTGTCCTCTCTCTTCCGCTGTACTGTGGTTCTGAAAGATATCGACCATCGATTGCGAGGGTTTCGTGATGGGTTCGTATTGATTCCGAACGGCTGGAGGGGAGTAGCAAGGTATAGTATAGTCTTCTCGTATCCATGTAGATAGATTTGACGACCTCGTCAACCTACTTGCTGTTATAGACACAATATTCTGTTGCAAGGCTATGTCACGAATGTCATTGAAGGCAAGGGCAGACTTACCTTCCATAGAGAAAGTCCTCTAGAACTCAGAAGCTAGGATTGAACAGGTATGAAGTCTCCCTCTTGGTTCACCGGCTCGTCTGAATATGAATCTATTGCATATTTATCTATTGCATATTGAGGCATTGAGACCTTTGGCAGATTCTCACTGATGGGCGGTTGCTCACGCATCTTGACGAAGGATCATCCAGGCAGAGGCCTTGATGTTGCATTGGGATTATGGAAGACGTCCTGCGAGATTCGCTGGCAATTGCAAAGTCTCCATGGCTCTGTTTGAAGTTTGAGTAAGAAAGAGAGCCTGGAACGGCTGCTGAATCTGGTTACGAGGTTGTTCCGAAATTTTAGGTCTCGCAAGGGCGAACCGCCTGTCTCTACGACAGGATGCATCGAAGGGAGTGACGATCGCATGGTGCAAAGGCCTGGAGAAAAATCCTACTGTGTGATTGAGTTGTTCTGCATCAAGACACAGTCCAACACACGAGTGTTTGCACAATCTGAAGAGGCCAATGTAATGGTATGCATCCAACGTCAAGGCATCAGCAGTAGATTTCAATTGGTCCGCTAGAATAGTCCATTTTCATATTCGTGAGATTCACCAGTAAATAGAGAAACAGGGGAAAAGAAGCCATCCACTGGCTGCTTGTGGCTGGGCCTGATTCGAAAAGGGAGGGAAAAGCATGTTCGATGTGCTCACTGGCAGAGCGAGAGACAACATGATGGAAGCGAGGAAATTTTGCACACCGTCAATTGCGAATTCAACCAATGTCAAGAGCTCAACGGCCTCTCTGGTCATCGCTCTGAGGGGAAATACCCAGCACTAGCCCTGATTTAAGGACCGGGATGCCAGTGTGTTCTCACCTCGCTTACGGTTTTGTTCTGCTCAGCTGCGCATTGATATTGCCAGCTCGTCGTCTGATTTGACAGTGCTTTGATACTGCGATTTTAGAAAATGGTTTTGGATTTTCCTTGGTAGATGGGCACAGATTGTCTACTCGGATGGATCTGATATCACGACCCTTGTAGGCACACGCTACCCTGGAAGTCTCAAATCTGATCACATTCTTTTAGCTTAATGACGCTAGTAGCCTGGAGCAAGATCTGGGGACTTTGGCTGATTCAAGATTTCAGATTCTGAGATCGATTATCCGATGCGAACGAGGTTTCATTTACTAAAGTGTTTCAGGTTCGGAAACATGCCGAGTGTGGCATTGGCGTGCCTGCAAACGCGAACGCGGAATTACATTGTTTGAAGAACATGAAACAGGTGACTTCCAATTGCCAATAATCGCCTGTGAAGGAAAGTATTGGTAGTTGGTTAGATTTCCTGAATACAATACATCCACGATGTGAGAAATTCTTCGCAATTGCGCCAACTTTCGTCCGGCCCAAAAGCATAAAATTCCCTAACTCGGAAAGGCACGGATCCTGAGAATAGTAAACCGAAGCTCGCTACACATTTTCAGCATTTGGTTTGCATTTTCTTGCACCTTCTCCTTAATCCTACATATTTCGCCTCCTCCAGTCCAGTCGGCTTCATGTGGAAGGGGTGAACTGAATTTAGCATAAAAATCGACAGCAAAGTTCGGCTGAGTGGAAAGGACCGGTCCTTGGTTCTGACAGGTCTGTCTCCAAACAAGACCAGAGTGGCGCATTTAGGCTTTTACGTGATTGCTGCCAGTATTTCACAGCTGTTAAAGAGCCGTAGCGTGTGTCTCGATGCTCCGATCTTCTCGGATGGCAGTTTGGTGATGACGACTTGTGAGGGATAAGCGAGCAACAGAGTCCAACAGGCATCGGAAGAGGTGTATGCGTGTGCTAACTCGAGGTCCGTCGATGGAGAGGGAGAACCCAGCCATCGACCACGCAGAGACTTCGGATGTGGCTCTCAACGGAAGGATACGGTCACGACTGCTCGATCCATATGCT